AAACACCCGCTCAATCACCGTTGGCGACGTCTCGCTTTTCAAAGTCCGAAGTACCCATTGCTGTACCTCGTACAATCATCAGCCGTGTAAAACAGCTGTCGCCGGCAGGATATCGGCCTTGGTCATCACCAAATCGAACCGCTCTCGCTGGTGGAGAGCGGCGTCGCCTCGGTACTTAAAGGAGCGTATGGGGATCGGAAGAAGATTTAAGAAGCGATCTCGGAAAACCCCCTCTTGTCAGATGTCTACAATACTTGAACTAGATTGTTCTGGAAACTGGAATCATTTGAAATCAGAACTGCAGTCAAGAGAGTAATTGCTGGATGGCGGAAATGAAACTGCTCCGAATGACTACAATTTCTAAGCTTCGAATGTCCCTGCCCGAGAATCAAACGTAAAGCTCTGTTCAATTCGAATGTCCCTGTCCGGTGACTACGACTAAGGTTAAAAGGTTACTGGTTCGCGTCGGCCATGAATTGCAACAATTAGTAATTTCCGTAATGACGACCTTGAGATAAACGTACCTGAAGATTACGAAGACTAAGGATACGAGTGAGAACCACTAATGGTTCGTAACAATATCGCGACCGCCATGGATTTTGGCTTAGCAAGCTTATCCTCGAGACCTGAGTGAACTGCTGTGACTATGGTTAGAAGGATAGGCATTCAGGGAAGTTTGAGTATGGATTGCAGAAAGGAAGTTGAGCATCAGTGAAAGAGGACATGATCAGAGGTAGAATCCAGGGGATCTAGACGGATTCAGAGTGGTAAAATACGATTCACAGAAACGATGATCCATTTCTCCTGCTTGGGTGGAGGGCGCCGCACCGTCGGCGGAAGGCGGCAAATTCGTGAGAGCGTTGACGACGGGGATACCCATTTCGTTAGCTAAAGGTACGACTCGCGAAATCTCCGCAGCACGGTGGTCCCACAAGTTCGCCATTCGCGCGCTAATCGTCTGTCAGAAAAATGCTTCTGACACAACGCGATGATATGTAATGCAGCGCCATGAGCCATCATGATAACAATTCAAGTATATTCGCTTATATCTTAAATACCAATTTTACAGTAGAACTATATGCTATTCTTTAGAGTATGGAAGTTGCTGCATTTTTCATGCAATGAATTGAAAGAATATGTAGTGAAGAGAAAGGGTGATGCTACTTTGTGGGCGGGAGCGTGAGTGTTGTGAGATACCTGCGTTGTGGAACAAAACTCACCAAACGTCCTAAGCAAGCTGTCATGTCAACTGTCAACCTTGTTAGACACTACCTTAGTGTTGGTGGCACCTTAGATACTTGTTCCTTATGTTAGCTCTCACTTGAGAAATCGCCCTGATCTGATTGAGTTGTTCACCTCCACACGCATACAACGTGGAGAGGTTACACAACACAAGACACAGGCAGGCAGGCGGCAGGGATGCACAAAACGTGCTTCTGCCGCCGCTACCACACCGAACATGATCGGTGTACATGTAAAACGTTGGCAAACGTTGATAGTAAAATATGTTTTCTCATGTAGAACGTTGATGGCAGAGCCCATGGTCACAGATCAGCATGGCCTGGATACCTAGGGAACGGAATAGCATCTCGGATGTTATCAATGCCTGTGGCGAAGAGGATCATTCTTTCAAAGCCCAGACCAAAGCCCGCATGAGGCACTGTCCCGTACTTGCGCAGATCCAGGTACCACTCGTACAACTCCCGTGGCAAGTCCATCTCCTCCAACCTGGGAAACACAATGGTTGAAATGTCATGCATGTGGAAGTCAATGCCCCGTGGCTTGACTGAAAGTTTTGATGTGGCTTGGCCAAAAGCATGCACTGCTGAGAGAGTGATTTTGATTCACCACCATCACCGACGTCGCAAGACAGGAAGCAAGCACATACCTCTTGACCAAGACATCATAGCGCTCCTCCCGTTGACTCCCTCCTATCAACTCCCCCACCTGCACAGACAAGCACATTGTGGAAAGGCATTGAATGGTCACATCAGATTTCAAAAAAACGCCATTTAAGAAATCGAACTTATGGGTCATGCATGCCAGGGTACTGCAGCAAGCCCACCAACCAGCTTCTCTCCCTAGGGTGAGCATGACTTACCCCAGGCACAAGCACATCCATGGCTGCCACAGTCCTGCCATCATCATTGAGCCGCATGTAGAACGCCTTGATCTCCTTGGGGTAGTTGTACACTATCACTGGCGTCTTGAAATGCGTCTCCGCCAGGTACCTGCCACACCATGCCATGACCATGCAATGCCAATACGTGCCATGGGAATATACAGCAATGTGGAAATTAGGGTGACTGCCAGCAACCACATTGCTGCAAATCAACCTTACTCTGTAGTACCCACCTTCCCACTCCCCCATGGCAACCCCCCCTTCTCGCGCACTATCTCACCTCTCATGCTCACTCGCAAGGTCGATGCCCCACTCCACCGCATTCTCAAACTTCTTCCCCTTCTTGATCGCTTCTTGCAGCAGCTCAATCGCCTCAGTGTACGTCACTCGGGCGAACGGTGACGACGCCACGTGTGCCAGGCGGTCCAGAGCGGTCTTGTCGAACATCTTGGTCATGAACTGCATGTCGTCGCGACAGTTGTCCAGCAGCCATTGGCAGAGGAACCGCACATAGTCCTCCGCGCATTTCATGTCGTCCTGCATGCATTGGTTGGTTGGGACAGCGCATAGGCAGCACACACACCCCCCCCAAACCATGTGATCTGTGCCTGAGTGGAGGGAAAACAAGCCAAGCCCAAGACAGGCACATCTGACACCAGCAATGCAGATGCACGATTGCCAGGTCATAGGAGTGGATCTGCTGCAGGTACAGCCACGTCAGCAACATACCTCCAGGTCAGCGAAGGCAATCTCGGGCTCGACCATCCAGAACTCCGCCAGGTGCCTTGTCGTGTGGGAGTTCTCTGCGCGGAACGTCGGCCCGAACGTGTACACGCTGCTGAGCGCACAAGCATACGTCTCCACCTGCAGCTGCCCCGACACCGTCAGGAACGCCTGCCGGGCGAAGAAGTCCGCTCCAAAGTCCACCGGCCCCTTGCCGTCCTCCCCTTTCCGCGGCAGCCCTGGCCGCATCTTTGCCCGCGCCTCTAAGGTAGCCAGTGCCTCCTTGGCCTTCGTTAGCTCCGCCACGCCGGCTTTAATCTCCTCCTTGCTCGCCTTCGCCTCCTTGAGAGCCTTCACCGCGCCGCCTGCTGCTGTCACGGCGTCTTTGGCGGCCGCCACGTCAGCGTCCGTGGGAGGGGGGTTTTCCAAGAGAGCCTTTTCGCGGCGCTCAGTTTCGGCGATGAGGGTGGTAACGTGGAACATTTCGCCAGCGCCTTCGCAGTCGTTGGTGGTGACGATGGGCGTGTGCACGTAGAGGAAGCCGTGCTTCTGGAAGAAGGTGTGCGTCGCGAATGCCAGCGCGTTGCGGATCCGTGCCACCGCCGCGATCTGCGCGGGGAGAGGAAGGCGCGGGGACGGGAGGGATGGGGAAACGGGGGGACGGGAGGACAGGGAGAGAGCGGGGAAGGGATGGGAGGAGGGAGGAGCGAAGCGGCGTGAAGAAGAGAAGGGGAGAGAGAGAGTGGCGAACGGGGGAAGGTGAAAACGGGGAGGGTTAGAAGGGTATCCGTTTCTTCTTCTCTCCGATTCGCCCAACTCGCCACGTCAGCATTGCGTCATACCGTGTTGGTGCGCGGTCGCAGGTGCATGACGGATCGCAGATACTCGAGCGACAGCTTCGTCTTGGCGATGGGGTACACGCCCGCGTCGCACGGGCCCACGTGAAGCACCTTGCTGACGTGGACCTCCACCAGCTGCTTCGTTCCCTCGGGCGTGCGCTTCAGCTCGCCCTCCACGCGCACGCACGTGCCCGTCGCCACCAGCTCCCCAATCGCCGCCACCTCAGCCTTCACAATCACCTGTGGAGGGACAGCCGTGGATCAGGACGAGAAGGCCACGTCAGCAGAAACACGACCACGTGTGAGAGGCGGACGATCAACAGAAACCCGGAGCTTGAATCCATGCAAAACCCCCGTCGACCGGCACGACAGGAGCAGACGGCCGAATGGAACTGTCACTGAATTGAATCGCGAGAACAACGGAGCGCTTCGGAGATCACCAGATACGGCGTATCACACCACGTGCTAGGATCACCACCCGTTGATCGTCCAGTCCCTGACGAACACACACGCGAGCGACAGTGTAGGACGGTCTGCGACAGTGTGCGACAGTGTGCGACAGAGTGCGACAGGTACCTGAAGGTTGGCGGGGCACGATCCGTCGTTGAGCTCTAGGAAGGCGAAGGTTCCCTTGCCCTGCTCTCGCCCGGTCTTCACCCATCCTCCCACCACTAACGTCTGCCCAACTAATGACAAACCGCCATCTGGTGCACCGAGAATAGTTTTAATAACGACCCTTTTCGAGTACGGAGCGAGGATCGAGACAGCGGGAACGGGCTGCGTGGATTCGCCATTATCGGCTGGAGATGCTGGACCGTCCGCCATGACTGATGGAACTGCAACAGCATCAGCTTGAGGGAGAAGCCAAGTGCCAAAAATCTATACAATATTTTAGTTTCACTGTTAACAAGCGTTCATGCCGGAGTGGTTAACGGGACAGACTCGAAATCTGTTGGGCTCTGCCCGCGCAGGTTCGAATCCTGCTGAACGCGCTTTTACTCCACCCACTTCTGCGTATTGTCAGTTCATTCATAGCGGTTACCCGTCGTCGTGAAGCCATGTGAAACTAGTTTGCGCGGTGCGCTGCTCTTCGCACGACAAGTCCTTTTCGCCCTCGCGAATGTTTCACCTCGAGCCTGTCAGAAATGCAGGATTCTTGTTCTTCAATTCAACCTTTCCCTCTGCCGTGATGCGACCAGATTCTGAAGCTTGTCAGGCATAGGGAATGTCGGCTGACACAGTCGCTGGAACTGGAGTTTTTTTAGCTAGCCTATCAATGAGCGAATAGGGTAATCCGTGAGGCAGCTCTTGGATTCATGATTCCTTATTGCGACGTGACCAGTGCGTGTTGGCAGCTCTTCATGAACACGGACTTCTGTGGGAATTTTTTTTCGTAATTACGGACTAGTACCCTCCTTACCCTCCTCACTAGAAAGAGTCAGTGAGACGGCAAGTGGGCGTTTCTGAACACGTGCGACAGGCGGTGTGGGCCATGTCGTAGAGCCCTTTGCACCACTTTCAAGTTAACGCTCTGGCTTCTCCTATGAGCTTCTGTGTAGTCGCTGAAGCGCGCTGCGCCTTCCGCATGCCATGACGAGCGTCCCCTCGCCTTCGTCTCCGCCTGGTTTCGATCTGTCGGCCACCGGTTATTCCTTCCGACCTCCCCTGACGAGCGTCTGTACCGCTCTCGTTTCGAATCTGTCTCCATCCTCGATATGGACATGTTCAGTTTCAAGCCAATCGAGCGTCGTGCTCGTGGATTTGTGGCCGTCCGATCCAACCTACCTGTCCAACGAGCCAGCTTGCAGCAGCTATCTCCTCATTCCTGCAGAGAACGCATGGGATGTGACTGTACGAACGGCGATGTACACGTTGGCGTTGATCTACCTGTTCATAGGCCTCGCTACAATCACAGGGAAATACATGGAAGCCATGGAGAACATCGTTCAGCAGACCCGTAAAGTGAGACTCTGGTGCGTTTAGGTGAAATAAATCAATTTTACTCTGAGTTCAAAGAAAAGCTATGAGCAGAATGTTATTATCTAACGCGGAATTTGTAGATAGCACAAATTTGTCCACTGGAGAATGTCATCGCCAACCAGGTGTATGCAAGCCTCTCCCTCTTTTCCCGCTTCAGAACAAGAGGCATAGGATGGAATCACATTAGCAGCAAAAAGGCCATCGCTGACCTCATACTGCATGTAACACAGTGAAACAGAGTGGAAGGTTGATTTCTAGCAAGGAGTGTCTGGCAATGTCTCTTGTAATACTTTTGTTTCCCACCATGAGTGTCTTTTTTCTTCGTCAGGGACCCTGTGGTTGGTCGGTGGGTGGAGTCGGAGCAGCGCTTGTGGAATCCAGCCATCGCTGACATCACGCTGCTGGCGCTGGGCACATGCGCTCCTCAGATCTCCCTCGCAGTCATTGACGCCGTCAGGCGACTGGGCAAGACCGGCGGACAGGGTGAGTGTGGTTCCAGGTTGTATGATGAGGGGTGAGTTACAGACACACAGGAGAGAAAGAACAGAGGCTCAGGGCTTGCATGTTTTCAGACTCCCTACGTCCATGGCTCCAAACGTCCGGAAACGTTTCTCCCACTCTCATTCTCTTAACTTGTCATCCAGGCGGCCTCCTCGTGCCTGGTAATGTGTATCCATTGCTTGCACTTTTACGTGTGTTCATCGTCTCAACGATTTGTGCTTGCTCGTGACTCACGTGCACACGCACCTCCTCTGCCCTCGCCCGTTTGGACCCAGACCTGGGAGCAGGCACCATCATAGGTGGCGCAGCGTTCAACATCTTCCCCATCCTGGCTGTGTGTGTGCTTGTGCCTCCTGCCGGCACCGTCAAGCGCATTTCAGACGTGGGGCTCTTTCTGGTCGAGTTCCTCTGGTCGCTCTGGGCCTATGTGTGGCTCTACATCGTGCTGCAGGTGAGCCCAGGGGGATGTGTCTCAGGAATGGCTGTGTTTTTTTGTGCCACACCCACCATGTGTTTTTATGTCAAGATGCATGGCAATGGTCATCAGATTTTGCTGTCGTGTGAGCCACCTTGAAGCTCTCCAAGCAATGAGGCTGATCCTGTTTACATTTCTCATTCACATGTCTTGTTGTTTTCACCTGGTGTTCCTCCTGTCCAGGTGTGGACGCCAGGGGAGGTGACGATAGCAGAGGCGGTGATGACAGTGCTGCAGCTGCCGCTGCTCATGCTGCACGCATACGCCCAGGAGCAGCGCTGGCCCTTCATAGCCATCCCGCTCTCACCGCCCACTAGCCAACCTCCCACTGCTTCCTTGGAAGCCATTGCTGCGACAGCAGGCGCCGCTAGCTCAGCAATGCAGGAGGGTGCTCAAAGTGGGACTGCACTTAGTGCTTCCCTTGCAGAGGGTGCTGTAGCGGGTGGGGTCATTGCAGGCAGCCACACAGCAGTATCTGGTCTAGATGGTGAATCATCTCCAGGAGTTGCCTCTGGTCCTGCTATGGCTGGCCATGCAGCTCTGGGCGATCTTTCCATCCCGAGCAGGAGCAGGAGGCGGCGGAGGAGCAGTGAACACGATCGCAACAGCAGACGCAGCAGTGGTGGTGGTGGTGGTGGTGGTGGTGGTGGTGGTGGTGGTGGTGGTGGTGGTGGTGGTGGTGGTGGTGGTGGTGGTGGTGGTGGTGGTGGTGGTGGTGAAGGAGGCATGGGGAGAGGTAGCAGTCGCAGGCACAGCCTATCATCTCAGGCGGAGGACAGGGAGTGGGACGATGTGGAGGAGGACGAGGAGGTGGGGAGGGGAAGGCGCAACTCTGGGCAAGGGTTTCAGCAGGGGGGTGTGGAGGTGCTCCCTCAGCCAGACAGCCGTTCCCAACTCATCGCTTCTAGGCATTCACATGGGAGCGATGGCAGCAGCGGCGGGACGAGGGGGGTGTCGTTCGGCATGCGGTGGAGGCGACAGATCGTGCTCTCCATGATGGTGGGTTGCGACATACTGACTGTCATGACATGATGGCATGTGCTGACATTATGGCATGTGCTGACATGATGGCATGTGCTGACGCGATGGCACCTGCCGACGCAATGGCATGTGCTGACATGACTGCGTATGCTGACATGCTGGTGTGTGATAGGTGTTGTAATGGCATGTTGTTCATGTCCCTGATGTCTCCATGAGTATCTTTGCCATGTTCCCCACCTGCATAGTCATCATCAGCCCCCCTGTACAGCTTCACTAATGATAAGGTCAGATGTATGTTTTAATCTACTCTTGTTCCCCATTGCCTGCAATGCCCACCACTCCGTCCCACCAATTTCCCATCTCATCCCATCCCCCTCTCCCTCCACCAGCTGCACCCCTCGGATTACAATGATCGCACGACACAAGAACAGATGCACCCCACACATGAGCAATCAGCATCGCATAAATCCCAGCCGGTGGCAGCGAGGGTGCGGCGGGTGGTGGTGAACGCGGTGTGCTTCGTGTGGAAGGCGCTGTGTGCACTGCTCATCCCCCCGCCTGACGCCCTGCACGGCTACCCCGCCTTCATCACCAGCATCCTCGTCATCACCCTCATTGCTGCTCTTGTTGTGGAGCTGGCCTCTCTCTTTGGCTGCGTCACAGGTGCGATACAAGGGATTATACACGAGGTATTAACATGCATTTATCATGAGTGCACACGAGACAAAGAGCTGCCGCCCGTCGCTCCTGAGCCATGTGCATGTTTTTCCTCCATCCACTCCCCCTGCCAGGGGTGAACTCGTTTGTGGTGGCGATAACGCTGCTGGCGACGGGCACGTCCATCCCGGACCTCATAGCCAGTGTGGTGGCAGCAGACCACCTGCCCACTGCTGACTCCGCCATCGCCAACATCAACGCCAGGTGAGCGCTCTGTGAATGCTGCAGCTTGTTGTGTCAGGATCAATGCTTAATGTGGTGATTCGAGTGTGGATTGCCACAGAGGTACCAAAGGCTTGTTATATTGTGCTATTTGAACGCACCACTTTTCCTGAGCTTTTCTTTATGCCTGGCAGCAATTGCATCATTGTTTTCTCTGGAATGGGTATCCCATGGCTCATCACCACTCTCTACAATCAGTTTGTGTTGGGATCAGCAAACAATGTGAGCACGGCAGGCCTCGGATTTTCCATCATTGTTTTTTTCTTAACAACTGCCGTCTGCATGGCGATGTTATTCCTTCGAAGAATCATGCTCGGAGGAGAGCTTGGAGGGCCCAGGCCTCTCGCTTGGCTCTCTTGCTTTGCCTTCATGCTGCTCTGGATTGTCTACATGCTGCTCTCTTCACTGAATGCGTATGGAATAGTCGGAGACATGGTGTAGAGTATCTTATTGACTAAAAATACAAACCCTCTTTCATTTTTTTTTAAGTTCACCACCACCATCTCTTGGACCGTCATGGGTTCATTGCACTTCATGATATAGAATTTCATGTTAGCGTCATCCTCGGAAGCAGAATTGTTTTAGATATAAGAGTATGTTGTTAGAACGAATGCTACCACTGCTTTATAATAAGCACTGCATTTCCTACATACGTGATGTAAACATGTTGATTTGTTTCAAGGTCCATGCATTTTTCTGGTTTTGAAACACGGAAGCACGCTCAGAATGTTTATCGTTTCGTGTGTTAAAATCGAGTAACTTCTAGCGAGTCCGTCACCACCACGCATCCCGCTGACCCCGTTCTGCGTTGGCTAACGCAAGAATCTGCACATGGAGAGACTTCCCAGAACAAATATATCGTTTTAGCTGTGGTCTAGATTCTCTCAAATCCTCGTGCAGCCACCTAAGCAAGTTCTGAAAGACTCCATGAAAAACTTGCGGAAACCAGGCAGAACTCCGGACACTTAATACTGATTCGGGGTGCTGTGTCGCGTTGAACTTGTGACAAAAGACTCGAAAGTGTTCATATTGCAGGGGAAACCTCTTCTGAAACCAGTCCCCACGACACAAACCCTGAGTTGGAGCGGCCCAAATTACCTGACAGCAGTTGCTGGGGAGTTCAACTCATTTCTCACTTTCAGGCTGAAGCTAGGGTTTGGTGGTCCCTAGGACTGGCACTCAGATCTACATGCCAGAGCGTGTAGCCAAACGTTATCCTCTTGGCGGCGAAGGCGCGGGTTGCGGGGATCCCATCTTCGCAATTTGCGCTTCGGCCACTGCGGTCCCCACTTCCAGCGAATCATGTGTCGTTTCCATCTGATTTTTTGCTTATCCGTTAGCCCAACGGTTCTGCCTCACCTTGGCGCCAACAGGCCTGAAAGGTTCATTCGACTGCCAGCGTCAGCTCCCACGCGCACTCCCTTTGGCCCCATTCGCGGCTCGGTTCTTACCCCACTCACCTCCCATTCAGCCCCGACCCGTGCCCCTCCGTTCACCCGTCAATTTCCCGATTTCCCATCTCCCAACCAATTCGCCTCGTTCTCGCCTCCTGATATTCTCCCAGTCTTCCTCATTTCGGCATTGCTTTCAAACGATTTATTAAAACGTCAGTCCGTTCGATCGATGGGACAACCACTGCAACATCTGAACCGCTTTGGAGCAGCGTCGCTGACCTTGTACCGCGATATGAACGAGTGGAGCCATGTCGCTGCCGAGCTGACTACTTTGAGATGGCGAAAGCTCAGTCTATTTTTCTTCGCGGCAGCGCAGTGTGTATGTTACCAAAATCTCGTTGTGATGCGCAGGTTTCCTGTATTTGCCCTTTTTCCTTTTCTTTCTTCGTGGCGACCATTATTGTGACCAAGTTTTTCTACCCGCGCAGGAACCGAGTGTACGATACGACTCAATATCCTCGGCAGAACGCTAAGAGCGACTCAAGACGTGCAACGAGCAACTTCGACACGCCTCCAGTCAACGCTGCAACGACAAACACGCCAAGACCCGCGACGCGTCCTGCAGTCAACGTCGTCGGCGTGAAGTCAACGCGCGCGTCAGCGTCGCGTGCGGCTTCGATCCGACAATCAATGATGAGTACCACCGGCTGGTTGCCGTCTATCTCTCTTTGCTCGCATGCTCCCGATGCTCTGTAGCACACCCAATCCCCCCTGGTACAGGTTCCAGGTGCAGGTGTAGCTGGTACAGGTATTTCCCGGTACAGGTGAGAATCAGGTTTAAACTCAGGTATTTTTGGGTGTGCTATAGCAGCCTCTGCTTTGCGTCTTCGGTTTTCGCCTTCATTCCTGTCGCTTTCCTTGCATGTGCTGCTTCCCTTCTTCCCTTCACTCATTTGTACTCCGCTCTTCCTCCCCGTTGTTCCAGGAGGCGCTTCGTGCTGTACTCGTCGCGGCTCTCGCTGTCCGCTCGATTCAGCGCTGCGACAACGTAACGCCCTGCTTCCGCTAGTCAACACGTCAGGACCCGCGCGACGCTATCTTGCAGTCAACGCTTTCGGCGTCGAGTCAACGCGCGTGGGCGGGTAGCCTTCGGCTTCGAACCGACAATGATGAGTACCACCGGCTCGCGAAGCTCTGTAGCACACGCAAGCCACCCCCCGGTTCAGGTTCCAGGTGCAGGTGTAGCTGGTACAGGTATTCCCTGGTTCAGGTGCAGGTGAGAATCAGGTCAGACTCGGTACAGGTTCGGCCTTGGTACGGTTCAGACTCAGGTATTTATGGGTGTGCTACAGCAGCCTTTGCATGTGCGCTCGCTTCGTCTGTGCTGCTTCCCTTCTTCTCTTGCGCGTGCCCCTTCACTCATTTGTATTCCGCTCTTCCTCCCCGTTGCTCCAGGAGGCGCTTCGTTGTACTCATCGCGGCTCTCCGCTTTCCGCTCGCTTCAACACTTCGACAACGCAGCGCGCTGCTTCCGCGGGTCAACCTCTGCTTCCGCGGGTCAACGCGCTGTTTCCGCGGGTCATCCCGCTGCTTCCGCGGGTCATTCCGCTGCTTCCGCGAGTCAACGCGCTACTTGTCAGGGAGATGAGTATTCCTGCTTTGATTTCGTCTTGTCTTTTGAATGCATTTTGTCGTCGCTCTAGCTGCTTGTAGCACACTCAAGTTCCCCCCCTTTTTTGAAGGTACAGACTATCAGGTTCCCCTCATTTTTTTATCCCCCTCTTGGTACGGTAAGGTACAGGTCCCCTCCCCTTAACCCCTCTTGAGTGTGCTACAGCAGCCTTTGCTTTTCGCCTGGATGCATGTCCGTCCGCTTCGTCTGTGCTGCTTCCCTTCTTCCCCTCGCATGCCTCTTCACTCATTTGTACTCCGCTCTTCCTCCCCCGTTGCTCCAGGAGGTGTTTCGCGCTGTACTCATTGCTGCTCTCTGCTCGCTTCAACGCTGCCGCGAGTCAACGATCTGCTGCCGCGAGTCAACGAACTGCTGCCGCGAGTCAACGATCTGCTTCCGCGGGTCAACGATCTGCTTCCGCGGGTCAACGATTTGCTTCCGCGGGTCAACGCGCTGTTTCCGCGAGTCAACGCGCTGCCTCCGCGGGTCAACGCGCTACCCGACAGAAAGATTAGTATTCCTGTGCCCATGCCTGCGACCGTTTTCCCGTTTGTCATTCGCTTTGCCTTGATTTCGCTCCGTCGTTTTGATTGCGTTTTCCCGTCGCTCTAGCTGCCTGTAGCACACTCAAGCCCCCCCCCCTTTTTTTTAAGGTACAGACTAAGGTAAGGTAAGGTAAGGTACGTACAAAATTTATCCTTGGTAAGGTAAGGTGCAGGTCTTCCCCCCACCAACCCCGCTTGAGTGTGCTACAGCAGATGTTCATCCATCCCCTTGTGCTGCGCGAGTGCTCCTTGCTTGCTTGCGCGTCCACCGCACCCCCCCTCCGCTTCCGCGGACTTTCTTCTCATCACACATCCTTCCCCCCCCCCTGCGCCTTTCCTGCCTCCCTATTCCGCAGCCTCTCGCCTAGCGTCAAGGAACGTGCCTTTGGCGGGCGTCGGGGGGAGGCGCACAAGGGGAGCCGCTGTGGGGACGTGCGTGGGAGGCAGCAGCGGGTCGACTTGGCTCTCCCTCCACCCACCAGCGCACAGCGACTAAGAGATGAGTATCACTCCGCCTGCCCTTCCCGCTCGTTTCGCATGCCCCGTAGCACACCCAAGGCCCCCCTTTTTGTCAAGGTTAAGACTGTCAGGTACCCCCTCCCCTTGGCGCAAAAATTCTATTCCCCTGGCTTGGTAAGGTAAAGGTCCCCTCCCCTCCGCTCGGGTGTGCTTTCGCGTCTGACTGGACAACAGGCATGCGCTCTACTTCATTCCCCCCTCCCCCACCATTCCCCCCTCTCTCCCCGCTCCTCCCCCTTGACCATCTCAGTGCCCTGCTGGCGTCAACGAACGGCCGTCGCTTTGCCTGGCGAACGCTCGACAAGGGACGTGGGGCGTGGAGGCAGCAGCAGAGGCAGCAGCGGGTCTTCTTGGTCTTCCCAACAAGCATCCGTCACAGAGCGACCAACAGATAGGTATCGCTTCACCAGTCTCTCTCGCTCTGCCTTTGACCGTTTTCCCGCTTGTCTTTGTCGTTTTGCATGCTTGTCTCGTTTATTCTTTGCTTTCCTTATCGCTCTAGCTGTCTGTGGCACACCCAAGCCCCCCCCCCCGCTTGGTATTTCAAGGTGTAGGTCATCAGGTGTCCCAGGTGCAGGTACAAAACTTTATCCAGGTCCCTTGGCACGGTATGGTGAGATTCAGGTCCCTTCACCCCTTTCATTGGGTGTGCTTCAGCAGCCTAGACCGTGCATGGCATGCTCTCTCGTTTGCACTCTCCACTCGTTTGGATCTGCATCCGCACTCCCCACTCACTCACTCCCTCTCTCCAACCCCCATCCCTTCCCGCCCCTCAGGGTGCCAGTGGGAGCAGAGGCGTGTGGGGAGGGGTGCAGCTGCTGCACTGCACCCATCTGCACCTCAACTCCACGCAGTTAAGTACCTCAACTGGCCCTTCGGGTTGCCCCTTCGTTTTTGGCTGCTGTCCTTGCTCTTTGCATTGCTGCACTCGCTTCTTCCAGCACTGCTGCACTCGCTTTTTTTCAGCACTTCTGTACCAAATCTTGTGAATGCTCTTCAAACGTCAGCTACGGTACTAATTGTTTTCTCTGCACCCCTTGGCAGGTTCATCCACTGTGGTGGTCGCTGGTGTTGGTGGTTGGCGGTGTTGGTGTTTGGTGGTGGTGGTGTTGGTGTTGATGGTTGGTGGCTGTGGTGGCTGGTGGTGGTGGTGGAGGGTGGTGGTTGGGGGGAGGCCTTGAGTCTGAATTCCAATAGCCGCACGTTTAAGGCATAATGGACGATCACCAGACCCTGCGGCCGGGGGTCTGGTGTGGCTCCAGACCCTGCGGCCGGGGGTCTGGTGTGGCTCCCCTCTTGCCACGTCGGTGAGGGTTCAGGTCTTGGGATCGCTCCTCAGCCCCACTCTGGAGTGGTGGTGGAGAGTGGTGGGGAGTGGTGGTGAAGAGTGGTTGGGGAGTGGTGGTGGAGAGTGGTGGTGGTGCTGTGGAGTACTGCAGTTGGTGGTGTGGGTAGTGAGGCTGATACTTCTGTGACTATTGTGCTGTCATAAGTCAAATAAGGATGTGGAACTAGTACAATCTGAGGCTGCGTACGTACGTAGCTCCTAGGCTGTGTAGAACCTCTAGTTTGTATGAGCCGTTGTTCTGCACAAATATTACTGTATATAGATTACTAGTAGTTAGCAAAGAGTCCTCTTCTTACCGGTATGTGAATTCGAAGAGCAACCTTTTTCGCAAGCAGCGAAAATTTTAGGTTGGCGGACAGCCACAATGGACGCATTCCAGTTCCACTTTCTTGCTTCCTTCGACAATCGCACTTGCAGTTCCGCTGTGGTCGGCGACCTCGCTCGGAGCTCTTACGTATCAGCTTAGCTTTTGAAATCTGACGCAGCCATGGTTCGTAGGCTTCCACCTTGTTTGCCTGCCACTTGTACTTGTCGTAGGTCGTTTGCCGTCGTTTAGCTCTTTAAAGTGTTTCGGCTCCTTGGTCTCGATGTTTTTGCGACCGCTCTCACGTCCTCCGCACTTAGTTCTTCCGTCTTCTTCCCTCATCGCTTATTGCCTTCCTCTGTCATCTCTTTTCGCCTCTCTCGTTTCTCCACTCTCCTTTCTCTGTCGTCCCCCCGTCCGCTCGTCTCGAGCGCGCCAGACGACGTCGAAGCGCGTGGTGGAACGCAAGAGCGCGCGGTTTCAGGGCAACATCGCGCGGCGAGGGAGCGTGCCGGAGACGGTGGCGAAGAAGGGCGACAAGTACCCTGTCAGCACCATCGTCATCATCTTCTTCATCTTCGTTGTTGTCGGCTCCGGTATGCCTTGCATGGGCTGCGTCTTGTACGCCTTGCACGGACTGAGTCTTGTATGCCTTGCACTTGCAAGGACTGCGTCGCACGTTTCACGGAAATTTGACGAGTACTAGCTGCGCCTGCATGATGCATCTGTCCCCTGTTCCTCAGTGTTGTATCCGTTGTTGCCGCTTCGTGTTGGACTCCTTCACTTTTGCCCCTTACCTCCCGTGCCTTTCCTTCTTTTCTAGCTTGACTCATCAGCTTCCCAGCCCGCTTCCCTCCTCCATGCCACAATTCCTCCCTGCTCTATCCCATATTCATCTTACTTTTCTCGTTGCTCCTGCTGCCCGTTCCCCTGCCAGCTCTCTTCCAAATCATTCGCAATGCCCAGACACGCACAGTTGACTAACCATAAGTTGTTCTGAAACAGTTGCAATGGGTGCTAGTTATTATTACCTTCTAGTTGCAAACTTGGGGCTGGCGCTCACCCCAAGGCTTGTGGGGCATCCTGCGTTACTTGCCTCATCTAGTTTTGTTATGTCTTGTGTGTATGTAATGTGCATCTACGGTGCACTCTGATATGTAATACGTTTGTATTACACTGTAGCATTACGCCATACTAAGATCAGCGACACTGCCCACGAGCTGATACTAGCGCGGCTCGTCGCAAGGCTTTTCGCGTGTTGGCGAGCGAGCCTCAGCCATGGCTCTTCCCGTCGCGTGGGCCGCAGTCGGCGCTGGCACCATCGCTATGTCGCTGTTCAAAAGAGGCAGGAAGAAATCTGGCGAGTCGTCCAACGCTGCGAATCCCGCGCTCTCACCCGACACTGACGACAAGCCGTCACCGGATTTGCCGGCGCCGTCAGCTGTTGCGGAAACAGACGGCGGCCGGTACGACGCGTCCAGTGACGGCATGAGTGACACGGCCGGCAGCGAGGGGTCGGCGCTGCGGAGGAGGCGGGGGAAAGGGGAAGGCGGGAGTGAGGCGGGGGGGACAGCAGCGGAAGCGGACTCCCCGCGGGAGAGTCGCGGAACTGCGGAAGGCGGAGCGATGAATAGCGCGGCGAGCGGGGTGACTGACGACACTGGATCTGGGGAGGATTCGCGGCCGGCGGCCGAGGTGACCGCGGGAGAAGATGATGCAGGCGATGAGGGGGGCGGTGCAAGCGAATGCGGGGACGCGGAATTGGTGGAAAGTGCGGCGGAGGGAGCGGGGGACGAGCGGAGTGGCGGAGAACTGGCTGGGGAACGGCGAGACCAAGCAGCGAAAGAGGAAGTTGTAGCAGCAGCAGAAGCAGCAGAAGCAGCAGTGGAGGCGAATACAGGTGCAGCGAGTGCTTGCAGGGCGTCCGATGAGCCGGGAGTGCAGGGCACGCCTGACGCGCAACGCAAGGAGACTGCTGCTGAATCCCCACCCAAGGCGGTTCATTCCCCCACAGCGCCGCAGACGAAGCCACGTCAGCAGCCGCTGGGGGTGTTCGTCTTCTGGCTCATTTTCATCACCCTCACGGGGCTTATAGCGGGGATCTTTCTCCTGGCGCAATTTCTGTTCCTGCAGGACGCGGGGCGGCGCGACTTCATCTCCATCCCGCCGCTCGTGCGCGCTCACCTGGACCGTGGGCAGACCATCAAGGTCGCCGCGCCGGGCGCCGTGGCGGGCGGGGCGGGCGGGAGCGGGCAGCAGGGGGAAGTTGAGGTGTTTGTGCGCACGGAGGGGTGGGGGACAGGTCGGGGGAGGAGATGGGGCGCGGAAGGTGGAGGTGGCGGGGGCGGTGGGGTTCAAGCGGGGGAGGGGCGGAGTAAGGAGGTGGTGGTGCTGCTGCATGGGCTGGGCGGCAGCTCGTTCCTGTACCGTGACGTCATCACTCTCCTCGCTGACAGGGGGCTCAGAGCACTCGCGCTTGACCTCCCAGGGTCAGGGCTATCCACCAAATTAACCTCAGAAGAAGAGGGCGCAGCAGCAATTTACCCTGCACACCAACTCGCGCGGATCCTAGACAGGGTGCTAGAGGCCCTTGGGATTGCCGAGCCAGTGCACCTGGTGCTGCATGATACAGGCGGCGTGGTCGGCACGTTGTGGGCGGCGGACAACGTGCATAGAGTGAGAAGCATAACGCTCATCGACACTCCAATGGAGGACCCCTTTGCTCCCGCCTTCCCCCCCGCCTGGCTCCTCCGCTACCCCCACCTCACTGCCCTCGCTGCCCGCTCTGTCTTCCCCGTTGCTGCCCTCCTTGCCTCCTGCTGCGTCAGCGCTCACGTGGCCGATGACGTGGCGCGGGCCCACGCGTACCTGCTGCAGGCGCATGGGGGCATCCACGCTGCCATGCTGGCGCGCCAGCATTGCAATCTGACGCATGACATGGCGCGGACGGTGCAGCGGCATGCAGAGAGGGCGCTGGGTCGGGTGCCGAGGCAGCTGCTTTGGTCCGGGGAGGCGGAGGAGCAGGGCGAGGAGGTTCGGTCGCACTGGCCTCTGGAAGACTTTCACCTGCATGAGGGCAAGCGCTGGCCCCAGGTGCGTGCTTGCACCTTGTTTATGAGGCGCCTCAATAAATGGTCCCCAGGTGTATGCTCGCAATAGGTTTATGGGGCACCTCTGATGTAGAGCCCAGGTGTGTGCTTTCACCTTATTTGTGAGGCGCATAAAGACATACGGTAGACCTCAGCTGTGTGCTTGCATTCGCATGCGTGGGAGGGCCGCCCCTGTTCTCTGTCATTCCCACCCCTTTCACAGCACAATCGCCCCTCTCTTGCTCTCATTAAGAGTCTCCTTATTTGTCAGTCTCTGCTCCTCCCTACCCTTGGCAGCAGTGACACTGAGCAAATGCATAGCACAACACATCATCTCACCTCCCTTCACTCTCCTTCCGTCCACACCAACCAGGAGGACCATCCAGGGGACATAGCCGAGGCGATTGCTAGGTTCGTAGCTGCCCAGCCTCCACTGCCTGCCTCAACCGGTACAGGTAGGGGTGGTGGCAAGGAGCACAGAAGCAGGCCTGCTGCTGCTGCTGCTGGTGGAAAGGCCAAGGGGGGAAGTGGACACCACCACCACCATGGCCATGCGCATGGGCATGACCATGAGAACAGTCATGGGCATGGTTTAGGCTACATGGAGGATATTCCCCAGGGCCCAGGCACAGGGCATGGTGGCTGGGTTATGTAAGTGATCTAGAGCGTTCCTCAACTCCATTGGCCTGTCGTAAATTCTTCCAGTATATTGATAGAATTGTTTTGAAGCTCCTTGACATGTTATGTCGGCTAATCTGTCTCTCTGGCTAGTACATGTATATTCCAGCTGTGGCTTCCAGTCGTGTATGCTATTTTGGGGACACTAGTCATTTCTATTATGTCTACTCTGTTTTCTTCATTGTAGTGTTCATTTATGTCCTCAGTCCCGACAAGTCAAATTTACAAGCACAGAATAAATATCGATCTCCTAGCTATTCAAACCGTGCCATGTCAGCCCTAACACACACGTCGTATTGAACAGCGGAGCAGAATTCAGGCCGGTGACGAATCACGATTCAGAAGACTCCTTCAGCTCAGCAAGACTGGGTGGCGTGGCACGTCGCGATTGCGCATTCCACACGCGATGTTGCGCTCTTTCGCCATCTCCCATCTGTGACCTGTTTCATGTTACCGCATCGTCCAACTTTGGCTCCATTTTCGTAGCTAGGGGTCCTACATTTTTCTTGCAGATGCAGAAAGCTCACAGTTCTCAAACTCGCTTTCACCACTGACGGAAAGTGTAACCAGGCGTAGATTAGAAACTTCGTTCCTCTTTTCTTCATTTCTTCATCAGTCTGCGGCGATGGCGGCGCATGCAGTGCGCTTGCCGAAGACAGGCATGTCGATGCCGGTTCGTGTAACGGCGTCCCCGGCTCGCCAAATCTCAAATATATCCTTCAAGAGGGTTCCAAAACGTCGAGGTACGTTCGATCATTCCGTCCCCTGACAATACCTCCTTCACAGTAGTCGAGAAAAACAGAATCGGTGCGAGAACGAGCTGAGCGAAGGATGCAATCGTGCCGTCTTTGAAAGAATGCACGAACTAATCAACGCTTACTCGTTCTTGCTTCACGCAGGCCCCATGAACACTCGTGGCGCGACCGAGCAAGAGAAGAAAGGTCAGCCATGCCCACACTAGCTATGCCTCGATAATGTCGCACGCGCTTGTTTGCCACGGAATAGCCCAACTGCCTTATCTCACTGCTTCCAATCACCTACCGTCTCTCCTTCCTCCCCGCGTCGCACGTCGCATCCCCCCTGTACTTGGCAGCGCTGATCGTTTCCCCCAAGTCCGCGCCCCCCGCATTGACCGACAAGTGGCGCGCGGCATTCTCGAAGGCAACGCAGCGGTTGGTGGAGGTAGACGCGCAGGGGCAGCGGCAGGTGGTGCAGGCGGAGACGCAGAAGCAGCTGGCGGAAGACCGCGCGCGCGGGCGCTGGCAGGTCATGTGGGAGCGGACGCGCGAGTGGTTGGCGAAGGAGCGCGCGCGCGGGCAGGTGAAAGTGGCGCGGGCGCACGAGAAGGAAAAGGTGGCGGCGGAGAGAGCGGAGGGGCGGTGGGCGTTTGTGAAGGCGAAGGGGGAGCAGCGGATCACCGCAGCGAGGGTGCGCGGAATGTACGACGTGGCGCGCGCAAGGGCGAACGAGCGGCTTACTCAAGTGAGGGCGCAGGGACAGTGGCAGGTGGCATGGGCCAACGCGCGCAAGAGGCTTGCGCAGGCGGAAGGCACGCTCAAGGCGCGAAACGGTGTAGCGCAGGCGGAGATGAACGAGCGCTTGGCGCAGGAGAAGGCGCGAGAGCGGTTGCAGGTGGCGAGCGCGCGTGAACGGGCGCGGATGGCGGAGGAGCAGGCCAAGGGGCGCGTGATGCTGGCGAGCGCGCGGACGAACCGGCAGCTGGCGAAGGAGAGATTGCGCGGGAGGGTGAAGGTGGCGTGGGCCCAGGCGAAGGAGCGCATTGAGAAGGAGCGCGCCAAGGGGCGGTGGGCCGTGATGTGGGCCAAGGCGAACGAGGCACTGGCGCGGGAAAGAACGCGCGGCAGGTGGGACGTGCTCGTGACGTCCACGCGGCAGCGGCTGGCGGAGGTGCGGGAGAAGGGGCGGCTTGATGTGGCGTGGAGTGGTTGGAAATGGTTGGAGGAGCAGCAGTGGCCGAGAAGACAGAAAAGGATCGCAAGCCCTCCGGCGAAGCTGGGGAGTGGCGCTAAGATCATCGACCTGTGATGCTGTGCGGTGCCATGCAGTGAGACGCGTTGGGGCCTGGCCTGGGGGTTGCTCCTCTTGCCAGTCTCTTGGAATGGGAGCTGCCACTCTCAGTCTCAGCTGTGCATCCCGCTGCTCTGCTATCTCCTCGCATCCATTCATTAATAATACACCCCCACACACACACACACACACACACACACCCAGATACTACACCCAGGGTTGCTTAATACTGGGGGGAGTTGCATCCAGGGGTATTTTATATCAACATACAGGCCCAAACTTGTGTTGAAATGTCGAGTTGATACGGTTGGTATGTATCCTGCACAGCACATGCCCTTACAGGCAGTACGCAAGGACAACTTCCCTTACCCAATCATGCATACACAATGTGCTTGCACAGTTGTGCAAGGTGTGGTTAGTGCATTCTCACCTTGCTTGCCACCTATTCATCGCTATTCGTATTGCTGCATAATATGGACTTTATTTTAGGGGCATACCTAGTGATGACTGTTGTGCCATGCTAAATTTCAAGATGGAGCGCTATCCACTTTTGTTGGTTCTCATCATCTGAAATGGCTTGTTCATATGCTTTGTTTGGGCACACCTCTATTTTGTACAGCTTCAGCTGCCTCCTTGTACAGTCGATGCCCACCCCATGCACGCGAATTTGCTCTGCACCGGATGGAAACGCTGCACCCCGAGGTGTTTTCCCCAGCCTGTTGCACCCACGTTACAAGCGCGTCGCGTGGTTATGAACCAATAGTAACGAACAGACCGAAGTCAAAATGTCAACGGATAAGGTTACAGATCCTTGATATAAGCACCTGCGAGTTCTTTTTAGCTAGCTGCGAATTGACGAAACTTATGCGAAAGATCGATACAGCTTATACACCCCCTTCACAAGGCAACCGGGAGGGGCTCAATCAGGCATCAGGTGTAGCATTTTATGTTTGATATTCCAAAAGCCCCTCAAAAATCTCCAGGAAGGCGGGGACAGCTGAGATGGGCTGTCCAATCCCGAGGCTCTCGCAGGAGCCCACCAATGGGCCTATCAGGCGAGGCGGGCAGTTTTGTCGACAAGATTGATGCCTGGGAGGCACGCGCTGTGGCAGGCCAATCCGTGAACTGAATTCCTGAATTCTGGGCGCATCAGCATTCAGGAGGAATCAGGATCAGCAGGTGCTGCTCACTGAAGTGCTCATAGCTTTCTGCTCCCACTGCCGTTTGGTGCTGAGGGAGGTTTGTGGCTGAGGGAGGTTTGTGGCTGATGTTGATCATCCCGAGCTTGTTGTGATACAAGCTAGACATTTCGGACGCGTCGTATTAACCTTCACGTCCGCATCATAACAAGGGAGCTCGTTCTCGAATCAAAATACGCGCTTCCGTATCCTCGTGTTTCTGCCTCACCTGCAAGACTAATGATGGAATCCTTGATATCGCCGAGCCACGTCACCAGAGCAGTCCGAGTTAGTCACTCACTGGCCCTCCCGCAAAGATCTCCTCTTAGACCAGCACGATCCTGTCCAGGACCCGTCGTACGCATCACGAGATCCGCTTGCAGTCCAAGAGGCCCCCACGCCACCTCCACCTTCAGCCCACGCAATGCGCTCACACGTCCTGTAGGACCGACCGCGCCGAGCCACGCAAGCTCTCGAACGGGCTTCGCAGCGACCTCCCGTGGTCTTCCCGTCGGCGTCGGCGGGAGGAGCCTTGGCGGCGGGGCGCGGGGTGGAAGCTGCAGAGGAAAGGATCGTCGCCGTCGGAGTGAAATTATTTGTGCAGCTGCGCAAGGGTCGGCGGTGGAGCAGCAGCAGGTTGGCGGGGTGGTGCAGGACGGAGTGCCGCGCACGACCAGCAACGGCACAGCAGGAGCTACAGATGAAGAGATTCTGGTAACCAGCACAACTACGCGCTACGGTACTCGAGACTCTCCGAGTTTTCCTAGCATCGTGCCTCTCGCCCATCATCCACACGACTCAACTTGAACCAATCCCGCTTCCTTCCCCTAATGCCGTAACCTCTCTCGTTGAAAAATAAGCCGCACCTCACCTGCACTACCTCTGTGCTTGCAGAAAATGCCCCTGATGTCAATACGAGTGAATTCATAATCGATTCTTCCCGATCTGCAGGCGTCAATTCCCGCGCTCGGCGCGACGCTGGATGGCCACGGGGGCTGTGTGTTCCGCGTGTGGGCTCCGCACCCTCAGCGCGCCACCTTAGTCGTCAAGCGCCTCTCGCCCGCCCGCGCTGGCGCTGGTGGCGGTGTCGCGGAAGGCGCGGCAGCGGAAGGCGAGAGGGTGGAGATGGGGCGCGACGGCAACGTGTGGTTCGCGCGAGTTCCGAGCGTTGTTGCCGTGAGTGCCCCATGCTACGTGACGTGGATATGATGGTCTTGATTACGGTGACAAGGACGTGGCAAGCGTGCCTCGCGACTGTGAATGTCTACGATTCCAGCCGCAGCGGAGCATGGCGTTCCGTCCCATTCGGCCACCTCGCTACTACCCCTTTTTATGCGCCTTGTTGCTTTTTCCCTGCGCCTTGCCTGTGCGCCTCCCACCGCTCGTGCTCCAGGGCGACCGGTACCACTTCGTGTTCGAGTGGGAGGGAAAAACCCTGGAGAGGAGGGACGCGAGGGCGCGCGCGACGGACTACGAGAGCAACGGCTGCATCGTGGTGGACCCGCGCTTCTCCTGGACCCCCTTTGAACCCCCCCCGTTCGAGGCTCTCAATATCTATCAGCTGCACGTTGGTGCTTTCACTGGGTGAGACATGGGTGGAAGAGTTGATGCTTGATGTCTGTATGGGCAGATGGTGGATGGATGGATGATAGATGGATGTATTGATGGATACTGATATGGGTGGAACGCGATGGGATGCAATGAGATAGATGCGTGTTCATGTGGCCGAGAAATGACGATTCATGCGTGCACTGAACCTGGCCATGCACATTGAATCAGCCATAGCATTGTGTGTGGTACCATGTGCCCCACGCTCTGTGCTCCGTGCCTGACACGTGCAGCCGTCTGCCGGGTGGCGGCACGTTCGCCGCGCTCAAGGAGAAGCTGCCGTACATCAAGAGCCTCGGATTCAACGCCGTTCAGGTCAGCCATATGCAGGGACTGCGAGGCAGGGGGCACCGAGCGCCATGAGATGATGGGAGGCGGGGAGCCTGAGTGGAAGCGGATCAGAGACGAGTGGAGTTAGTGATGGCAGGGATAATACTCCTACCCGCTGTGCGTGTGTGGTGCATGCAGATGCTGCCAGTGCACGAGTACTGCGGGCAGTGGGGCTACAACCCCCGCCTGCTCTTCGCCCCCCACCCCTTCTACGGCACCCCCCTGGAGCTCCGGGAGCTGGTGGACGCCGCCCATTCCCAAGGTGAGGCTCGGTGGTGCACGGTGCATGGTGACATTGGGGGGCTGCAGTTGGGTAGAGGAACCACCGTTCCTCTGCCACCACATGCCGCATGCTGCGCCACTCCTTTACCTCCTTGCGCATGACATGCCAGCCCATGCGATCATGCCATGGCGTCCCATCCCATGTGGTACGTGCCATGTGTCATGTGCCATGTGCCATGTGTCATGTGTCATGTGTCATGTGCCACGTGTCATGTGCAGGCATGGCGGTCATCTTCGACGTGGTGCTGCACCATCTCGCGCCCAACCTCAACAGGTGCGCGCACGCATGGCCCGCATGCGCCACCAGGAGGGGGGACGGTGGACTGTGGCTTGTGGATTGTCACATCTGCCACGTCTGTCCGTTTGTCAGTCTTGAGACAGAAGATTTCTTACGTTGCCCGGTGTTGACAGGCCGTGCATGGAGAATCTCCGTCGATTTGTCTGGATGCACTGGTCAACTGTTACCTCCGTCATCCTGCAACCCATTTGATTAAATCTCCTGCTCCCTCAGCTCCTCTCTCCCTCAACTCGCCTTGGTGCGTGCGTGCCTGTCCAATTCCCTCCTCATGCCTTGGCAGCCTGTGGGAGTATGATGGGCCCACCAAGAAGGGAGGTGAGTGCAATCAACTGTGCCAGCAGGTTCATTCAATGCCAGGATGTGCTCAACGACTTGCTTCCCTCTCTCCACACCAGTGTCCCGCAGCTTCTACCCTCGCCTCTCCCATCCTTCCACTCTCCGCCCACATCAACTTGCCCCCATTGCCCCCACATCTCCCCACATCTCCCCTCCTCGCATCTCACACCCCATCTCCTTCCCCCATCTCCGTGCGCCCACGGCCATCAGGGCTGTATTTTGACGGGGGGGGCGACTCATCATGGGGCAAGACGTTTGCGTGGTGGCAGCAGGAGGTGAAGGACATGGTGCTCGATGCCGCTCGCCTCTTCCTCAACGAGTACAATGGTGCGCCCCTTCTGCCACACCAACCCCCGCGCTGCCATGCCATCATGACATGCAATCGCCTGCCATGCAGTGCGCGCACTCCAATGACGACAATGATTGCATTGCAGTTATTGCACGTATTAAATTGGTGCATATTCTCTTTACTCTACCCAGCGTCTCGTCATGAGTCGGCCTTGTCACGCCTATATGCACACCCCTCCTTTCTCATCAGCGTGCCAAGATCCAGGGACCTCTGCCCGCCCTGCGCCCTCCTCCCGTCGCTCACTGCCACCACCACCGTCCTCCCCCCCACCTATCCCGCCTTCCTTTTCCCGTGCGCGCAGGGGACGGGCTGCGGTTTGACTGTGTGCATGCCATGCCATGGAAGGTGTCGCAGAGCCTCACGTGGCACCTGCACCGCGAGTTCCCCCACCGCATCCTCATCTCCGGTGAGACGCGCCCTGCTGCCACCACACACTCCCCACCACACACTCCCCACCACACACTCCCCACCACACACTCCCCACCACACACTCCCCACCACACACTCCCCACCACACACTCCCCACCTGCACTCCTCGCCTGCACTCCTCGCCTCCCAGCACTCAAACTCGAATCACGTGTTCCCCATTTCCAGTGCAAGCCCATTCACCACTCTCCACCCCTGCCCTCCCTGGCTGTGCATGCACATGCGTGTGCATGCAGAGATCACGCCCAGTGTGCTGCAGCCCATCTATCCACTAACCACGCTCCGTCCCTGGTTGTGCATGTGCATGGTTGTGCATCTCTGTGGCTGTGTGTTCCTGTCAGAGATCACGCCCGAGGTACCGGAGGTGCTGACAGACGCGGGGTACGACGCCACGTGGATGCACACGTCCTTCTACAAGATGCGCTCCTTCATGCTCTCCGACGCCCCCCGCCCCCTCGGTCGCCTGCAGGCGCTGCTCACCCTGCTGCCCGGCTACTCCAAGTCAACGCAGGTCAACGCCCCTTCTGCCCTCACTGCCTGTCGTGTGCTACTCTTGCGTTCTCTCCATGCCGGGCGTGTTGGAGAACACACCGGCTGGAGGGCACCGGCTGGAGGGCACCGGGTGGAGGGCACCGGCTGGAGGGCACCGGCTGGAGGGCACCGGCTGGAGGGCACCGGGTGGAGGGCACGCACAGCGCACAGACGCATGCACACGGAGCTGTGCTTGCCGTTGCCGTTCCGAGCCCTATCTTCATTCCACTTCTACCCCGTCATGCATTATGCCAGCGAATCCATGTTATCCATGCCTTCCACTGCTCGTGTCATGATGTGCTGTTTTTAATGGCAGTGTGTGAAGTACTTCCTGGGGTCGCATGACCAGGTTGGGTGCCGCAGAGACGGCAAATATGACGATGACATACAGGGTTACCACAGGTACGGAGAGACGCAGGTACGGAGAGACGCAGGTACGGAGAGACGCAGGTACGGAGAGACGCAGGCGAGGGGAGGGTGAGACACAAGGTTAGCAAGTGTGTGAAAATTCTGCACAAGCATGAGGCATGTGCATGGCCGGTGTAACGTGGCATGGCCACAACTCCTGAATCACAAGTCTCATACCCCTATGAGCTGTGCTGCTCTCCTACTATTCCCTGTCCCGCTTTGCGCTCCCCTCATGCCCGCTTGCGTCACCGCCTAATGCCACCTTTTGCCGCTCCACCACCACCGTCCTTCCCACCTCCCCGTCTGCCACCAGGTACGCAGTGGACCTATTTGGAGGCCGTGACGACTGGACTGCTCGTGCTAAAGTGCGCATGTGGTTCGCCTGCCAGGTGCGCATGTGGTTCGCCTGCCAGGTGCGCATGTGGTTCGCCTGCCAGGTGCCTCTCCCTCCCCTACCTTGCATCCCAGTGCCCCTACCTTGCAACCCAGTGCCCCTACCTTGCAACCCAGTGCCCCTACCTTGCAACCCAGTGCCCCTACCTTGCATCCCAGTGCCCCTACCTTGCATCCCCGTGCCCCTACCTTGCAACCCAGTGCCCCTACCTTGCAACCCAGTGCCCCTACCTTGCATCCCAGTGCCCCTACCTTGCATCCCAGTGCCCCTACCTTGCATCCCAGTGCCCCTACCTTGCAACCCAGTGCCCCTACCTTGCAACCCAGTGCCCCTGCCTTGCAACCCAGTGCCCCTACCTTGCATCCCAGTGCCCCTACCTTGCATCCCAGTGCCCCTACCTTGCAACCCAGTGCCCCTACCTTGCATCCCAGTGCCCCTACCTTGCATCCCAGTGCCCCTACCTTGCAACCCAGTGCCCCTACCTTGCAACCCAGTGCCCCTACCTTGCATCCCAGTGCCCCTACCTTGCATCCCAGTGCCCCTACCTTGCATCCCAGTGCCCCTACCTTGCAACCCAGTGCCCCTACCTTGCAACCCAGTGCCCCTACCTTGCAACCCAGTGCCCCTACCTTGCATCCCAGTGCCCCTACCTTGCAACCCAGTGCCCCTACCTTGCAACCCAGTGCCCCTACCTTGCAACCCAGTGCCCCTACCTTGCAACCCAGTGCCCCTACCTTGCAACCCAGTGCCCCTACCTTGCAACCCAGTGCCCCTACCTTGCATCCCAGTGCCCCTACCTTGCAACCCAGTGCCCCTACCTTGCAACCCAGTGCCCCTACCTTGCAACCCAGTTCCCCTACCTTGCAACCCAGTGCCCCTACCTTGCAACCCAGTGCCCCTACCTTGCATCCCAGTGCCCCTACCTTGCAACCCAGTGCCCCTACCTTGCAACCCAGTGCCCCTACCTTGCATCCCAGTGCCCCTACCTTGCATCCCAGTGCCCCTACCTTGCATCCCAGTGCCCCTACCTTGCATCCCAGTGCCCCTACCTTGCATCCCAGTGCCCCTACCTTGCAACCCAGTGCCCCTACCTTGCATCCCAGTGCCCCTACCTTGCAACCCAGTGCCCCTACCTTGCAACCCAGTGCCCCTACCTTGCATCCTAGTGCCCCTACCTTGCATCCCAGTGCCCCTACCTTGCAACCCAGTGCCCCTACCTTGCAACCCAGTGCCCCTACCTTGCATCCCAGTGCCCCTACCTTGCAACCCAGTGCCCCTACCTTGCATCCCAGTGCCCCTACCTTGCATCCCAGTGCCCCTACCTTGCATCCCAGTGCCCCTACCTTGCAACCCAGTGCCCCTACCTTGCATCCCAGTGCCCCTACCTTGCAACCCAGTGCCCCTACCTTGCAACCCAGTGCCCCTACCTTGCATCCCAGTGCCCCTACCTTGCATCCCAGTGCCCCTACCTTGCAACCCAGTGCCCCTACCTTGCAACCCAGTGCCCCTACCTTGCATCCCAGTGCCTCTACCTTACATCCCAGTGCCTCTACCTTACATCCCATCCCCTGAACCTTGCATCCCAGTCAAGTGCACTCTAGACTTGAGGGCCATCAATTGCAGTGCATAGAGAGTGCAGGAGATGCAGTGGCTTCAGTCAGGATTGCAGGGGAGGTAGTCAAGGCGAATATCACCATGCATCTCACCTCCACCTCGTCTGTGCCATGGCTGTCTGTGCTGCATGCTCGTGCCATGGCTGTCTGTGCTGCGCCAGGTGTGTGCGCAGGGCATACCAATGACGTTCATGGGGTCGGAGAGCATGCATCCCAGGTGGTGGGGGGTCACTCCCAGGGACATGCTGGACTGGCAGTACACCGGTGAGCCCACCTCACCTCCCCGTGCATGCATGCACCCCCCTGCAAGCGCTGCCCCTCACCGGGTCACACCTGCTTCAGACCGCACACTCCTCCCATCGGTCGCCCCATGCCACTCACAACCCTCCCTCCCCATCTACCCCTCTGCTGTACGCCCCAGAGGATGCGGTGGGGCAGCAGATGCAGGCGCTGGTGCGGGCGGCCAACGGGCTGCGGACGGCGAGTGCAGCGCTGCAGCGGGGGGCGTTTGAGACGGTGCACTACGACGAGGTCAACTGCGTGATTGGCTTCAGGCGCCAGGTGGGCCCGCCCCCCGTGCTTCCACATTGACGTACTGCACTTTCTCTCTGTACTAGTGTAGCTTGTGTTGGGCCAGATCATGGCCTGCTTATAACCTAGAACTTGCAATGATGGTACCCACGTCACCTGTGTACCCACCTCCTGTGGTCCAGACTGACGGTGAAACGCTCCTGGTGGTGGTGAATGCGGGCGAGGCTCAGTGGGAGAAGAGAGACTATGGTGTGCGAGTGGGCGGCGGTGATAGGCCGTACGTGGAGGTGTTCAACTCGCAAGATGCCGAGTATGGCGGGTGGGCCACGTCAGGCAATGCTGGCAGCCAGCTGACCCCCAACCATGGCAAGATTTTCGTCAACCTGCCTAAGTGGGGCGTACTGGTCTTTAGACTGGTGGAATAACAACCTGCGATGTGCTTCGTTGACTAGGGATGACAAAATCTAGCTCACTATAGAATGTTGCTCCTTCTCTGTGCAGAAAAGCATAGGAATATATAAATGCCGACGCATTGGACGATAGAAACTAAAGGTGTTCAACCATTTTCCAAGATGCCTGTCTAACTGATATTCATAATGGTCAAAACTGTATGGCCAATCAACATCCATCGCTTCCTCCAGGTGCCTGTAGCGGGGAGACGCGGAACATTCGCGGCGACCTGGAGGCCAGCCATCCACCACACGCGCGCATCCAGCTCCGCCCTTCATGGCGCCAAGCTCACCCCCACCCGCCAGAGCAGCGCAGCCAGCCCGGCAAGAACGCGGGGAAACAGACACGGTCAGGCTGGTGAAGCAGATAAGGAAGAACCGTTCTTAAACCTTTTAAACCCTTCATCGCCCCTCCGTAACGCTACGCATCTGCAGCTTGTCAAGGTTCTGCGCTGCTGCCTCCCCTCCGCTTCCCGTCCCAGCTTCCGCCCTCACCCGTCGTTACTACCATGACCATGACATGCTCGCCTGCTTGTGCTGCTCCTCCTACCGCTTTGGTTCTACCCTGGCCTGATGTTATCACACTTGCACGCAGCTCAGTCGCAGGCAGCCATCGTTGCGTGCCGACGGAAGGATCAATCTTGCTGCTCGCCCTAACAAGAATTAGGTTACGTGACCCCGTCGATTGCCTGCAAAAACAGTTCTCCCTAAAGGTTTCATCTTGCTTGTGCCGAAGCCGTGCACCACGGGGAGCGAACCGCGTGAGCGGGCGAGGAGATGCGCGCGCCGTTCTAGAGAATGCCGTCGCCCCGCGAGCCGCTAGAGCTGCCTGACAAGGCCTGCTTTAGGCGCTCGAAACGCGCACCCAGGGCTGCTTAACGATTGTCGCCCTTCTAACCTAGGACGCCGATTAACCGATTCTGCGGAATTAGCGGGCTGCTTTGCGAGCTCGTCGAGCGACCTGGTGGTGCGAGCCGCTCGTATCTCCGAGTCCCGTGCCGTGGGTATCTAGGCTTGGGAGGAAGCACCTTATCGCATTGCGAGAGATTAGGGGCGATTGTACGACGGTCTAGAGAACCGTTTCATTTCCGATTGTAAGAACATCGTATCGGCGCGAGAAGCAGGCGGCGCGATGGCGGGGCTGGCGAAGATGAAGAAGAAGCTGCTGCCGCTGCAGACGGGCGGCGGCGTGCGCGCGCCTGACACGGGCGGCGTGGGGGAGATGCCCGCCATGGCCAACGACCCGTACGCCTCGTATAAGGTGAATTCGTTACCCGTTACAAGTGAGGCGTGGTCGCGAATGCCGGAAACCGTGTCGCACAATTTGCTCCTTGCCTTTTCGTTTTTCTTCCTCCATCGGAATGCCTGGTTGTCTGGGTGCCATACCGCGTCGCGGGTGCGACTATCGCTGGCTGACGTCCCCCACCCACCCCCCCTCCCCCCTCTTCCCCCCCCCCCCCCCCCCCCCCCCCCCCCCCCCCCCCCCCCCCCCCCCCCCCTTCCCCTCGCTATGTGCTTCTGTGTGAAGCATTCCGTAGCACGCGTCACTGATCGAGCTTTTAAACCTCACTTCTCTAGTACTCGAGGCGTCACTTGTCGAACAGTTTTGTCACTCAGTCATCGAGTAAGCAAAGCTTCACTCATCCAGCACTCACTGCGCGAATCCCGATTCCATTTCCATCCGCGTGCCCCCGTGGCAGGTCAGCGAGGAAGGGCACATCAATCTAATGAGTCAGTCTTTTAACGAGTACGCGATCAGCGAGCAGGGCCTGCAGGTGAACAAGGAGGGGCAGCATTCAGAGGACAGCAGCGCGGGCGGCGAGAAGACGTACCGCTGTGCTTCTAACGAAATGCTCGTGTTCGGCGCGATTGGTTCGGGGGCGAGCAGCGTTGTGTGTAAAGCCATTCACATACCCTCGCATCGCCTGCTCGCCCTCAAAAAAGTGAACGTCTTTGAAAAGGTCAACTCCCCTGTGCACGCTGCACCCCCCCTCTCACCGTTCCTGCTCCTCTCCTCCCCCTTGTCAATTCTTCTCCTCGTGCTTGCTTCACTCCCCATCGCCATCGCCACACCCATCCGCCAGCTCCTTCAATACCACCACTCCCTTTCCTTCAATACCACCACTCTCTTTCCTTCAATACCACCACTCTCTTTCCTTCAATACCACCACTCCCTTTCCTTCAATACCACCACTCTCTTTCCTTCAATACCACCACTCTCTTTCCTTCAATACCACCACTCCCTTTCCTTCAATACCACCACTCTCTTTCCTTCAATACCACCACTCTCTTTCCTTCAATACCACCACTCTCTTTCCTTCAATACCACCACTCTCTTTCCTTCAATACCACCACTCTCTTTCCTTCAATACCACCACTCTCTTTCCTTCAATACCACCACTTCCTTTCCTTCAATACCACCACTTCCTTTCCTTCAATACCACCACTTCCTTTCCTTCAATACCACCACTCCCTTTCCTTCAATACCACCACTCCCTTTCCTTCCCACCTTTAATCCCCCTTCCCCCCGCCCTCCTCCCCTTCCGCTCCCCCCTCCCCCCTCCCCCCCTCCCCTCCCCGTGGTGGCGCGCGAGCAGGACAAGAGGCACCAGCTGCTGAACGAGATCCGCACGCTGTGCGAGGCGCCAGCAGCGCCGGGGCTGGTGGAGTTCTACGGCGCCTTCTACCAGCCGGACAGCGGCCAGATCAACATCGCCCTCGAGTACATGGACGGGGGGTCGCTCGCTGACGTCGTGCAGGTCACCAAGACCATCCCCGAGAACGTGCTGTCGGCCATCACGCGCAAGGTGCTGCAGGGGATGCAGTTCCTGCACTCGGAGCGCCGCATGGTGCACCGCGACATCAAGCCCGCCAACATCCTGCTGCTCAACCTCAACGGCGTGCCCAAGATCACGGACTTCGGTATCAGCACCGGCCTCGACCACTCCCTCGCCATGGTAATTCGCCGCCCTGCTCTCTGCTTCCCTGCCGCCCCTGCTCCTGTGTTGTGCTGTGCTGCTGGGTTGCTCTGCTGTATGGGTTATGGAGGACGCCGGAGGGGGGAATTTCTGTCATGCTGCTCTGTGTCTCCCCACTGCTCCCCCATAATCGCCCTCTCCTCCTCCGCTTTCCTGCTCCACTTCCCTGTCCTCCATGTCTTCTTCTCCTATATTTTCCCTGCCGTTCCTGCCCCCATCCACCCTCCCACCCTCCACCCACCCCCCCCCCCCCCCCCCCCCCGCCACCCGCAGTGTGCAACGTTTGTGGGGACGGTGACGTACATGTCACCGGAGCGCATAGCCAATCAGAACTACTCCTTCCCTGCGGACATCTGGAGCCTCGGGCTCGCGCTGCTCGAGTGCGGCACCGGCACCTTCCCCTACACGGCTGATAAAGGGCCTATCAACCTCATGCTGCAGGTAGCACCTTTTCTTACACGGCCCATGTCTATCTCAATCTATCCCTCACACCACTCCCCTCTGCTTCCACACCTCTCACCAACAAGGTTCAAAATTACGGTTTTCGTAAAATACGGTCCGTTTTTTACGGTCGTTTTTTACGGTGATTTTCCAAAAAAACGGCCGTTTTTTTGTTAGAGAACTCTGTTTATTAAGAAAAAAAATAGAAAAACAAGGTAAAAAACCTTTTTAATCATGCCAACAAGCACATACATGCAAGAAGGGGTCCGTCCCCTTCATGCTGCTGCATTTCGGGTTCAATTTGGTTCCACTGAGTGGCCGTTTTGTTAGTTAAACAGGAAACACTTCCTGGAACCGTTTTAAACCGTTTTTTACGACCGTTTTTTACGATACCGTTTTTTACGGTAAATTTTCAAAAAAACGGTCGTTTTTTTGAACCCTGCTCACCAACCCCGCTCCTCCTTCCTACAACCCCCTTTCGCCCCACACCTTCCCCTTTCGCCCCACACCTTCCCCTTTCGCCCCACACCTTCCCCTTTCCCCCACACCTTCCACACCTTCCACCCTTTCCGCCAAACACCCCCTCTTTCTCCCCCCCCTCTTCTCACGACCCCCTTTAGTCCCGCTTCAAACCCCCTCAACCCCTCTCCCCCCTGTCCCCCCCTCCCACGGCGGGCATGGCATGGCATGGCATGGCATGGCAGGTGATGGAGGACCCGGCGCCCACACTGCCGCCGGGGTACTCAGCGGAGTTCCAGTCATTTGTCAACGACAGCCTTGAGAAGGACCCCTTCCAGCGCCCCACCGCTGAAGTTGTGAGTGGTGCAGTGCAGGGCAGTGCGGTGGTCGCGGAAAGAGGAGTATGTAGTGCTGTGTGTGGCTTTGGCAGCTTGTTAGTATTGCTGCACAAAATACCGTCTTCCTCGCTTGCCTGCTCCTCACCCTTCTCTATCTCCCCTTCCCCCTTTCACCGCCCATGCAATCACCCCATCACAACACACACTCCTCCCTCTCCTTCCTACTCATTTTCCCCTCGCCCCCTTCCCCCACCTTCGCCTTCCCCCCAACGCCCCTGTGGGCGAGAGCAGCTGCTGCAGCACCCGTTTATAACGAAGCACGCAGACGAGGAGGTGGACCTAGCAGGGTACATTCAGAACGTGGTCAACCCCACCGACCGCCTCAAAGACCTCTCCAATGTCCGTCCGAGGCACCTCTGCACCGCCACTCTACCACCTGCTCTCAATTTTCCGCTTTCTCTCCCCTCCACATCCTTCATTCTTTCGCTAAAACTCCACTGGTGAATGCTAATGCGGTGTGTGCATGACTGCGTGCGTGTGATTGTGTATTGTGCCCCATGCAGATGCTGATGGTGCATTACTACATGCTGTTTGACGGGCCTGACAAGATGTGGCCGCACATAGAGAGCTTCTACAAGCCAGACGCCACCCTTATGTACGTGTAGCATGCTGTGCTGTGCTGTGCTGTGCGGTGCTGTGCTGTGCCGTGCTGTGCTGTGCTGTGCTGTGCCGTGCTGTGCTGTGCCGTGCCGTGCCGTGCCGTGCCGTGCCGTGCTGTGCTGTGCTGTGCTGTGCCGTGCCGTGCCGTGCTCTGCTCTGCTCTGCTGTGCTGTGCTGTGCTGTGCGGTGCTGTGCGGTGCTGTGCGGTGCTGTGCTGTGCTGTGCTGTGCTGCGGGCGGGCCACTGTCATGTCATGTAAGCCAGGGGCATTCACATGCGTCAAAGCACGCTCCATGCACCACCGCCTGGCTTCACTTGCTCCATGCACCACCGCCTGGCTTCACTTGCTCCATGCACCACCGCCTGGCTTCACTTGCTCCATGCCACTCACTGTCACCACCCCCTCCATTCCACATTTCACCACCTGACACATGCCTCTCCCACTCCCTCCAACACCCCCCTTTTCCCTCCCCATCCAACCTCCTACACCCCCCCCCCCCTCTTCTCTTTCCCATCCTATCCCCTCCTCTCCCCTCGCGTCCTGCAACTCACATCCTATGGTGCAGGTTCGGGCACCGGGTGTACACGGGGGGTGAGCAGATATTTGCGACGCTGACGTCGATCCGCACGATGATGTTAGGAGAGGCCAAGTCGGAGCGCCTGGTGCACACCATTGAGAACCTCGAGTGCTGCGCGTACGGCCGCCGCGGCGTCATGGTGCGCGTGTCGGGCGCTCTGGTGGTGGGGCGGCAGTTCATCCCGCCGCCCGGCACGCAGGTGGAGGGCGTCACGAGCGGGGGGGCGACGGGGTACAAGGGGCATGGCAAGAAGCTGGGCAGCTTCATCGAGCTGTTTGTGATTGAGCCCGGGGAGGCGTCGGGGTCGTACCTGGTGGCCAAGCAGGAGCTGTACGTGCAGAAGTGATGGGCAGCAGAAGAATCATGTAGGGAAGGGAGAAAGAATGTTTTTGGGAGTGGATGGGGCAGTCAGACAGACCCCTGGGATGTGGGTGCTAGGGTGGGTGAAGGGCAGGCCTGGTAGCGGTGGGTGCAGCAGCGGCATAAATGGTTGCCGTGGTGCATGCAGTGCAAGGAGGGACAGTATGCATGGAGGCCGTATGGAATGAGAATGCTCCGTGTCATGTTCCTCAATGGAGTAATATACAGCAACTGAGCACACGACCTTGAACTGTAAATGGTCAGTGGACGCATCATCGTGGTGGGTCTGCAATCATGCCCACATTCCGTAGGGTGGTGGTGACATACGGTAGCAGCACTGATATCAGCCATGCTGAAATGGAAGGAAAGAGCTCATTGCAACAACTGAAGGATTTCCCCGCGTTCCTGCTAGTCCCTCCCTTGCCCAATAACATCCACTCTTCGGTGCATGACACGATGTCCATTTACAGGACAAGTCTAATGACTACCGTAATCTGGTAAGGAGCCGTTTCTTCTTGCTCACACATTCCACGCTTGTTTCAGCACCAAAGCTCCTTCTCGTCGGTGTGATGTATGTCTGCATTCACTCGCTTGTGTGCACATACGCAACAGGGTTAGTGGCCGCGTGCAACCGCAAATCAATAATATACAAGCCTACAATACATCACGCCCTGGCCTAACCTAACCAAGCCATGGCCTAACCTATCTACATCGTAGCGCCACAGAAACACCCCGGCGGGATGTTGATCATCACATTAGCACGCCCAGCCGCCCCGTTGCAGCAGGCATGCGGAGCAACCATCCGTTGGCGCAGCTGCTGTTGTATTGCATACTGCCGACCGCCATGCATTCCCCCTGCCCGCTCTCCCCCGACTGCTCCATCGATACCTCCGCGCCCCACACTTCCGCGGCGCCCGCCCATGCCCGCTTCGCCTCCGCCGCTGCGGCGACGCTGGACGGACTGCCCAGCGACAAGCTTAAATCGCAGCCGTCCATTTCGGAGGACGATCGCGACAGCGCGACCGCAGAAACCGCGTGCTCGGAGTTCGCGGGGGAGGCGGAGCCGTAGGGGGAGAATGCAGAGCGCACCGTCAAGTCCGCGAGGCTCTTAAAAGAGTCGATCGACTCCAGCCGCGGGGGCGACGATGCTCCAACGGACGGCTGAGATCCGTTTTGGCCAGGACAGTCGAAGAAGTGGAAGAACGTTCCAGATTGAGAAGCAGAGGCGTGAGCGTGGTGGGGAGCGGAAGAGGCGTCTGTTTGAACCATCCGCGCCATGTGCGCTGCGATCGCGATCTCGTCTTCCGACAAGCCCGATGACTGCGAGTAACAGTCAACTGACGCGTCGCCGAGATGGTTACCACCATTGCGGTTCTTCGCGGCGGTCACCTGCGGGACCTGCGCGCGCGTGGACTTGAACTGCAGCTCGATGGCGGACGCGTTTTGGCGCAAGGCGGCGGGCCAATGGGCGTCGTGCTCGACGAAAGGCAGCCATTCGGACGGCAGAGAGTTGATGGTGGACGCCTGCTTGAGCGTCGTCGCCCAGCCCCACGCTTCCCCGCGCGCCATGCGTGCACGATCTATTGCGCCCCTGATTTTGTGCGACCCTGCTCGGAATACTAAAGCTGACGAGCGGCTTGTGGATGAATCTGTGGTGTTTCAAATGCGAATGAGTGTGGAATGGGGTGGAGGGCGGATGTGGAATATATGAGTGTGCGAGGGCTGATGAAGAGTCGGTGCGTGTGTCGGAGCAGGGGGAGTGTCTCCCCACAAACGGCTTGGAGTTTGGCTTGGCGCGTGATTCGCCTTTCGCCTCGCCACGCACGCCACGACACGCTGAGCGCAGCTGCGCTTCGGCGAGGGGGCTGGTGCTCGCCTTCCAATCATCGCGCCTCGATGTTTGCTCGCGGGGAAGTGGGAATTTGGGAAACATGCGGACCGGTCAGGTTGGGGTTGGGTTTCGGTTCGTTGAGGCAGCGGTGTTGGCGGCAGGCGGTGGTCCAAAGCAGGTGGCAGGTGGTGAATGGCCAGCAAGAAATGTTGTCGCAAAACTTTCCTGTAATCTGCGCGGGATGCGGGAAACGGGTCTGGCGCCATCAGGTTTGGGGAGGGGCTCTTCAGGTGAGGTTGCGCAAAGTACCCGCCTCCTCACGAAGTACAACGCTTACTGAATTCATGGTTTCACGGGAACAAAAAGCCCACTAAATGCCACCACGCGAAGGGGACTGAAGGGTGTTGCTTAGTCAGGGTATGCCCCAAACTAGAAGGGAGGTTCGGGAGTCTCTTCGACTGATTGTTCAAACATATTTCGATTCAACACCGCATTTAGGAAACTTTTGATTTTGGATTTGCGTACAGAGTCGTCTTGTAACGGGTTTATGCCAACAGGGGAGCAATCTTGGTCTTCATGTTCCACATTCCAGCCCCCACATCTCGCATCCCTGGGCCCATGTTCAACGCAACGATTCCCCACACACATCAGTTCCACCCATGCCACGTGGAGCGGAAAGCCATAGCGGCCGTTCAATCAGGCCAATTTTCAATATGGTACCTCACCAAATCCCTTGTCGGCACAGACAGAAGGCGTTGTCGCGCCACGCTCTTCAGCTTATGCAGGCTAACGCCGCCTCCCAGCTCGCTTGTGAGCTTGCGACCCCGCAATGTGCCGTCAGCAAGTAACGGGAGCTTTTTCTCCACCCAGGATCGCGCGGAAGAACGCGCGGCGTATTGGCGGAGCGTAGAGAGCGCTCGAGATGGTATGGCGCTTGGTAGCCCTTCGTTTCCCTCAGCTCTTGCTCCTCTGCCCTAGCTCGCATTCGCCACACGACCCTTCCCTCCGCTCCCGCTTCTGCGTGACTTTATTCTGCCCTTTCCGATTTCCCGGCTGTCGGCCGCCAGGCGCGCTTCTGGTCGATCCCTACGCTGCTCTGCTGGCCGCGGCGAAGCAGCAGAGAAAAGCAGAGGGAAAAGGAAATGCGGGGAATGATCCGGGGGAGGCGGCGGTGGAGGCGGCGTCGTACCTGGTGGCGACGCGGTTCTTGGACGACGCGATTGAAGAGGCGGTGGCGCAGCTGGTGGGCGGGGCGGAGGAGGTCCGCCAGGTATCGTCGCGTCACTGCTGCTCGCACTCATGGCATGGCAGCATCCCCTGCCCTCACACTCAGATGCTTGTTGTCTGGCTCTGATAGAAGCGGCGGCACCATGGCAGGTTGTTCTTCTAACGGATGGGTGTGACACGCGGCCGTACCGCATGGCGTGGCCGCGCCCCATGGTGCTGTTTGACGTGTCGCCCGCTGCGCCCTACACTGCCTGCCACAACCTCCTCCATGGTGAGCCACCCCTGCACTCTCACCTACCTTGCCCATCCAGCCCTCCCGCTCTGGACTTCATTCCCAGCCTCTGCTGTATTCGCTGGCTTTGCTCCCTTTCTATCAGAGGCTGGAGCGCGGCCAGCATGTGGATCAGTGGTGCGCCACGTGTCAGCTGACCTGTCCACCGGGGAGGACTGGCGGGATGAAGGTTGGGGCGAGAAGCTGCAGAGGCTCGGGTATAGAGGAGACAGGCCGAGCCTGTGGGTGTTGCAGGTGCGGTCCAAAGCTTCTGCAACAGAGCCTAAGGTTTGCCTCCAGGGCTGACTGCTTTTTCTTGTGCCTACCCTTCAGATTGACACCTCCCTCCCGTCTCCCCTTCCAGGGCCTGCCCCAGCTGTCAGCGTCAGGCCTGAAGGCCATTCTGGGCCACCTGCAAGGGCTGCTCATGACAGGCTGCCAAGTCATTGGGGAGCTGCCCTTGCACGCCATCGCTCCCCAGGCCATTGCGGGCACAGGAGAATCAGGGTCACAAGAGGACCCTTCGGTTGCTGTGGCTGCTCTCTCCGCCCTCTTTGCCTCCCATGGGCTTCTGGCTGAAGTGCATTCAAATGTCCCAGTCGCTGCCCTGTATGCTCAACAGTGCCCCACAGCCCAGCGTCTCCTTGATGATTTGAGTGGGTCTGATGGGCCAGCACCGAGGAACATGATGCTGTTTTCAGCAACACAACAGCGGATGTCTGATGCACAGGTGAGGATGTTAGTGTCAGTGGCAAAGCTAACGTTGTGCTAGGTTATGAACACAATGCACTTACCCAGCTGATGCCCATTCATGCCTCTCTTGAACCATCCAGGTCGAGCTTTTGGCAGAAGAGATGCGCATCGCAGAGGCATGGGGCGATGAAGAAGGCTTCGAGGACCTACCTTGAAGGCTGACTTCACTAACAAGCACTTTTTATCGGGTTATTGATAGTTTTTACTGAAATTAGTGGTGTACAATGTTTTTTTGCACCTAGCCATGTAGTATGTATTGAAGCACTGAGAGTTTGTTCGTTTTGTCAGAGTTTCACAGAACTTCTGTAACACTTGCCTCGGAGCGATTTGGTGATGTCGCTTCGTGAAGGGATCACCACATAGACCCGACTGCGAATGCCACGTGTGCGGCCCACACAACCTCAATGTCCCCGCGCCCGCGGTCAACCTTGGTGTTGTCAGCAACGGAACAAAGCCCGGTTGCCAGTGCTCTTCTCCACCAAGCATATTCCGACGAATCGCAGATGGCGTTGGTTGAGAATGTGGGATCCGCTGGTGTCTTGAGTCTTGACAGTCTACAAATGATCAGCCCACCTTCGATCTGCGTCAATCATACTAGAACTATTCACCTCAAGTTTTACTGAAGCCACTTCTTCAATCGGTGGATTCAGCTCTAGTAGTCCGTTGTTTAGCTACCGAATTAGCAGAAACATGTCGAACAAACACCACGTTGCTGCTCATCCGTGGCACGACTTGGAAATCGGTACGGACTGTAGCAAGCTTGTCGGATCGCCTACCATCTTCAGGCCCAGAAGCTCCTGGTCAAGTTCGCGTACTGACATTTGTGCCCGATCGCATCCTGTCTTCCAGGTCCAGAAGCTCCTACTGTCTTCAACGTTGTCGTAGAAATCTCCAAGGGAAGCAAAGTCAAGTACGAGCTTGATAAGAAGTCCGGCCTTATCAAGGTATTCTTGTTTGTTCGGTCAGATCTAAGCTACTTGGTATCTCTTTGTGTCATCTTCTTCAATTCATATCTTTTACGACATTATTTGCAGGTCGACCGTATTCTGTACTCTTCGGTGGTGTATCCTCACAACTATGGGTTCATCCCGAGGACTCTCTGCGACGATAACGATCCAATGGATGTCCTCGTCTTGATGCAGGTATGCTGCCAATCTGACCTATGAAACACACTTTCCGGAATAACAAACTCACATGCTATGTTAAAAAAAGGGTCAAAATATTGCAAAATTGACGTACCGGGCGTGAATTGAATCAGCAAATGGGAGGGTTTCATGAGAAGTGACCTTGATTGAATATATGATGCGTCCCCTCTTATTATTCCAACAGGAGCCAGTGATTCCTGGATGTTATCTTCGTGCCAGGGCAATTGGGCTTATGCCTATGATTGATCAGGTTAGAGCCTTTTCCATCATCGTTCGTGTGATTGCATCCCGCAACCTATTTATGAAATTGACGAGATGACACGTGCCTTCACTTCAGGGAGAGATGGACGACAAGATCATTGCTGTGTGCGCCGACGACCCAGAGTACAAGCATTTCAAGTCTATTGACGAGCTTCCGAGGCACAGACTGCAAGAAATCAAGCGTTTCTTTGAGGACTACAAGAAGAACGAGAATAAGGAAGTCGCAGTCAACACTTTTCTCGGTGCCACAGAAGCCGTTTCAGCTGTGAAGAAATCCATGTAAGCTCATCAAGTGCTCAAACTTACTTGAGCCTTGAACATTCACGTTTCGTGTCTTAACTGCTTCTCTTCCCGTGCTTCTCCTTCTGAACACCACTCTACATTCTTGCACAAGCCTCGCATCCCTCGTCCCTCTTCCTCCGTGCCCCCTGCTTCTCTTTCTCACCATCTCACTCTTATCATCCTCCCCCTCCCTCCCCCCTGTATCACCCTCATGTTGACATTGCCCGTTCGTTATTTCCCCCTTTCTCTCAACGTTACTTCCCCATTTTTAACTCGCTTTCCAGGCTGCTAATTCTAGCCTCGCCTCACATCCTGACTTTGCCCCTTTTCGTTCTAAAAAATGCAGGGACTTGTATGGCCAGTACATTTTGGACAGCTTGCACAAATAAATGGTTTATGCTTCTTTGTCTGTTGAGTGATGAATGAAGTGCAAATTCTCACCCTCTCTATTGCAACGTTTGACGAAAAACGAGCTGCAGTGCAGCTGGCTGACTAGCTTCATTAGGTCGGACACTGTCAAATGTTGACACATGCTATGCTACTCATGCAACCCGGGCAAGGTGCTTCACAACCACACGAAGTTGCATTGTGGAGCTCTAACTCTGCCAGTAGCACTACAGGCTGTATGCTCTACCAGCCTACTCAAATGCTCTCAGCAGCTGTGCACACTGCACAGGAGAACATGCGCAGGTGAACAGCATAGGTGATGTTCCTTGCATTCCTTCAATCTTGTATTTCCAACACGCTCAGAGCAGGCCACAAAGTGGCCAAGGAGACATTGAGAAAGAGGCCAGAAAGTACAGTTCAAATCACAAGTCATGGTACCGGTACAACCTATTTCTGCCAGCAAGGGTGAGTGTCCTTTACCCATAACTACTCGTGGTGAACATTTGCCCTTGCAGCAAGAATAAGGGAGCTGGCAATAACCATGCTCAGAAACACTGCTCACTGCTCAGTATCACACAGCAGAGAATGCCTGATCACCAGATCCGATCTGAATCTCCCTCACTGCAGCCCGCAACATGTCCCTCTGTGATTGGTCCACCTGCCCCTCCGCCTGCTCCCAATCACACATGAAGAGCAGAGCAGAGCAGAGCACACGTACGAGAATCAGAGTGAACCCAGAAATGTGGCAGCGTACTGACTGAGGCACACACACCATGAGCGAGTCGAGGTACTCACCATGAGCGAGTCGAGGTACTCTGCTTGCTCTGCGAGCTGCTGCTTCCACACGGCGATGGCCTCATCCCTCTCCCTCATCGCCTCCATCGCTTCCTTCAGTGACAGCACCTCCGCCACCAGCTCCTCCCGTTGCTGCCACACACAAATGAAATGGATGCGCCAAGGGAGAGGAGAAAGCATGAGCTGGAGCCAGGGGATGAGAGAGTGAGGGTGGGAGGGAGGAGGCTCTAAAAAACGAATCCCACCTACAACCAGCACACATGAACCCCCTTCCCCCTCCCCACCCCCTCTCCTCAGGACTACCAGATTCAGCAGCTTCTGCTGCCAACCGAAAACCCATGTGGTGCTGGCAGCGCAGGGCAGCGCACCTGCTGTTCCTGCAGGGACTTCTTGCGCGCGTTGAAGATGCTCTCACTGATGTCCTCCGCTGTGCGCCGTGCCTCCTCCACCTCCGCCGCCAGCTCATCCGCCCGCCGCCTCGCCGCCTCCAGCTCCGCTATCAGCTTCTGCGGGTCCTGCCTGCTCCGCGCACGGGCCAGGGGGTGGCGGGTGGGAGAGGTGGTGCAGAGGGGAGGATGGAGAAAGGGGCTTTAAGGTCCAGGTTCATACGAAGATTCAAGTGAAGTGGCAGAAAGGCCAAATGAGGTTCACAGTGAATGTGGTGCCATACATGCAATCCCATGCAAATGAACAGTGAATCCATGCATGTGCATCCATGCATGTGCATCCATGCATGTGCATCCATGCATGTGCATCCATGCATGTGAATCCATGCATGTGCATCCATGCATGTGAATCCGTGCATGTGCATCCATGCATGTGAATCCATGCATGCAAACCATGATCCCAATGGCATCGCCCCCCCACTGCGCCACCCCGTGAGCAGCAGCATGGCACGCACTTGAGCAGGCCTGGCAGCCCGCCTCCCGACCCCCCGGCAGTGAGGGCGTCCGCCAGCTCCGCCTCCCTCCTCTCCGCAGCCTCCAGCTCCTCGTTCAGATCCGCTATGCGCATCACCAACCCCGTCACCTGTCAGCACACCACACAGACAGCGTAGAGGCATAGGCAGAGCGGGAACAAGCCACGGTTTAGAATGCAGCAAGGGATGAGGAGCAAATTAAGCAGGCTGCACTCACGCTTTTATCATCCATCAAAGCATGTCCCCCTCCCTTCTGTTCCAAAGGAAACCACACCCCCACATTCATCTCTTTCCCCCCTCCTCTACCCCTCCTGCCCCACCCCTCCCCCACCTGCCCAGCGAACGACTCGGCCTCGGCGTTGGCGGCGTCCTCACGGGCAGCCAGCAGGGCGACCTGCGTGCTGAGCTCCTCTATGCGCTGGTTGGCGGCCGCCAGGGCCTGCTTGCTGGCCTGCTCGCGCTCGCGCAGTGCCGCCACCTGCCCCAGGAACAGCCCCACACACTCGTCCACCGTCGCCCCCAGCGCCCTCCGCGTCTCCTCCACCTCCTCCTCCACGCGCCTCTGCTCCTCCCGCTCTTGCGGCGATTGGGGAGGGAGGCGGGGGCGGTGGAGGGCGGGGAGAGCTGCTGCGCGATGAAGGAGGAGGGCGGCAGCGCCGTGCCGTTCACGGATGAGGTTGATGAGGGCGATGCGCGCACCTGCACAAGTGGGGGGAGTAGGGTGTGAGTGAGGGGGCGGTGAGGATTTGACAGGGCAAGACGTGGGGCATGGGCATGGGCTCATGGGCGTGGGCTAATGGGTATGGGTATCAGGAAGGGCGTGGGCATGCTCCCAGCATGCAACGCCACCAACACAGCACTCACAGGCACGGGTTCAGCGGTGCGAGAGTCAAACACCACCGCAGCGTCCCACGGTGCCGCACTGTCCCTCCCCTGCCCAGCGCCCCCTCTTCCTCTCTCCGCCGCCGCAACTCTCTCCTCAGCCGCGGCCAGCCGCTCGCTCATCTCCGCCAGGCGCTCATAAGCCGCTTTAGCCGCGGCCTTGGCGGCGGCCTCACGCTGCTCCACGTCCTCCACCTGCCGGAACAGCTCCTCCACACGCGCATTCGCGCGCATCGCCGCCTCCACGGCGGCCGCCTCGCTCTCCTCCACCAGTGCCAGCTTGCGACTCGCCGCCTCCGCCTCTCTCACCGCCACGGCTTCCCGCTGCTGCACCGCCGCCACCTCGCTGTGCAGCTCTGCAACTCGCGCGTCTGCTCTCTGCGCCTGCGCCTTGGCCTCCTCCTCGCGTTCGATCAGCTCCGACACGCGCGTGGAGAGGAACGAGATGTGGTCGTTGGCCGTCTGCAGTGCCTCCTGCAGCTCTGTCTCGCGCCGTGTCAGGTTCACAATCTGCTCCGACAGCAGTCCAATGCGTCGGTTCGCCGCGTCGATCTCCTGCCGTGTGCCCGCATCGCGGGCCTGCAGCGCCCCCAGCTGTCCGCTCACCGCCTCGTACCGCCGGATCGCCTCATCCGCCGCCGCCTCGCGCTCCCTCAGCTTGGCCACCTCCTTGGATATCTCCCCCACCGACCGCTCCGCCGTCGCTGCTGCCGCCTTGGCTGCCTCCAGGTCGCTGACAAGAGCATCAACCCGCACCTCCAGTGCATCAGCCCGCTCGCGCGCGCTCCTCTCGCTGTCTCTGATCTCCGCCTCGCGCGCCGCCGCCTCCTCCAGCTGCTCCGACAGCACGGCGACTCGCTCCAGCGCGGCGCGCGTGGCGGCCTCGGCCTGCGCCTCCTTGCGCTTGAGGTCCGCCACCTTGCTATTGAGCTCCTCCAGCCGCTCCTTGATGTCGCCCACCGACCCCAGCCCCTGCAGCTCAGACGCCATGCTCTCGTACCGCCGCTGCGCCTCCTCCGCCACCTGTTTCGCGCTCGCCTCCTTGCGTCCCAGCTCCTCCACGCGTCGCAGGATCGCAAAGTACCGCCGGTCCGCTGCACGCGCCGACGCGCGCGACTTGCGCTCGCTCTCGCGGATGGCGGTGAGCTGGCGCAGGAAGAAGTCGTTGCGGTCGGTGGCAGCCTGCAGGGCAGCGCGCGTCTGCGACAGCAGCCCCTCCAGCTCCACCACGCGCCCCACCAGCTCGCCCGCCTCCTCCGCGCTCAGCGCCTGCACGCGCCCCGCCTGCATGTCGCGCCGCCGCTCCTCTGCTCGCCGCTCCGCGTCCTCCGCTGCGCGTCTGCGCTGCTCGTCCAGCTCGCGCAGCAGCGCCTCCACTCGCCGCTCCGCCACGCGCGCCTGCTTGCGCGCGGCCTCCTCGCGCGCCTTGAGTGCCGTGACCTGGCGGAAGAAGAAGTCTATGCGGTCCTTGGCTGCTGCCGCTGCTGCATCCGCTGTTGCCACCCGTGAGTTGGCGCCCTCCAGGAGCATCTGTGAGGGAGGAGTGAGGGGCCGGGGAACAGGGAGAGGGAGTGGAAATGAGGGGGGGAGAACGACGGGGTGGTTGTGAGTTGGCGGATGGAAGAGGGCGGGGCGCAAGACGGAGACGGGAACGGCCCTGTGGTGTGTGCGTTGGGTGAACACTGAATGCTCGTCTCACCTTGAGTGATCTGACTTCATCACTGCTCCCACTGCTGCCGCCTACTCCTCTTCCTCCTCCTGCTGCCTCTGCTGCTGCCTGCATGGCACCGCACAGCACAGCAGAGCAGAGCAGAGCAGCCGGGCAAAACGGGGAGTGGGAGGAAGGAGTGAGCGAGAGGCGATTGAAAGGGACAGGAGAGGTGCCAACTAATGCGACAGCTAATGCACCCTCACCTGTGTTGCCCTCCCCACCCACGTGCTGCCCTCCCCTCCCACGTGCTGCCTCGCCACATGCAAGGCTCCCAAACCCACGCACTCACTCATACACCCTGTCACCCATCCACCCACTCACCCACGCACCCGCCCACACCCCCCCCTCAGAACGCCCCCCCCCACCTGGCACAGCTGGTGCACGAGGGCGTGGTCAGCAGCGAGGCGGTGGCGGAAGCGGTCAGCCGCCACGCGCGCCAGGGCCACCTGCCAGTCGTGCGCGTGCGTGCCACCCTCCTTGGCCGCCAGGCGCCGCCGAAACTCCTCCTGCGTCAGCTGCAGCACGCGCTTGCTGTCGCCCGCACTCAAGCTGTCCCTCAACTGCGGGAAGGGGAGAGGGCGGATGGAGGGGGAAGGCATGGATGGAGGCACGCGCATGACGGGGCAGTGGGTCACACAGTGGGTGGGCCAGGGGTGGGGGGCATTGACAGTACGGAAATCGGTGGGGAGACGGCGTGGGAGGGGGGTTGCAGGGAGTGATGGGCGAGCGGGGGTAAAGAGGCGCGAGCGTGCATGCACCCAATAATGCGCCAGCAGGGGGAGTGCGACCTGAATGGGGGCTGGGGTGACGGGAGTACCCATGGTAGCATACTAGCATGCGCGCACCTTCTCCCGTGGTAGCATGAATTGGGGTGGGAGGGGAGGGGCGCGCACCTTCTCCCACGGCAGCATGTAGGGGTTGACGGAGGGGCGCACCGCCCTCAGCGCCGCCAGCGCCGCGTCCACCGCCTGCCCGCGCACCAACGTCAGGTACCTGCGCGCGCACACAGGGGGAAGAAGGGGGGGTTGTGGTGAATGGAGGGGCAGGGAAGTGACATGACGGCAGGGAGCGAAGAGGGGCGACGAGGGGTGAGGAGGGGCGAGGAGGGGCGTACCCGAGGGCGACGAGGGGCGAGGAGGAGTGAGGAGGGGCGGGGAGGGGCGAGGAGGGGCGAGGAGGGGCGTACCCGAGCGCGACGAGGGGCGCCTTATCGTTGCCGGAGGAGCAGCACACGTGTACCGTGTAGCCGCGCGATAGCAGCAGATCAACGGCTGAGATGGCGCGCGGCAGCGCCATGTCCTGCGGGAAGCGCATGGGCGCATGGGCGGTGGATGGGCGGCAAATGGGCGACAGAGGGGCATGGGGTGCATGCATTGCGCAAGGGCGGGCATGGCGTAAGGGCGGGTATAGCGCGACGGCGGGCGTGGCGCAAGGGCGGGCGTGGCGCAAGCGCGGGCATGGCGCGAGGGCGGGCGTGGCGTGTGGTATGCGGGCCAAGGCTGTCCGTAAGTGCGCTCTGCTCACACGCTCTCTCAGCTGCCTCCTCTCGACACAAGGGCTCCGCTTACCATGCAAGCCGCGCGGGTGGTTGGTTCGTGGTTCACTCATCTCCCGTTCATTGCCGTGAGTCGTTCGTTCACTCACCACACTTTCTTATTCCTTCTCCCCACAACCCTACTCGCATCCCCATCTACCCCAGCCTCATACCCTCTCCCCATACCCCCTCCCCACATCCCCTCCCCTTCTCATTCCCCCTTTCCCCTCCCCCTCCCCCCGTCACCACACACCCCTCCCCCTCCGCCGCACCTGTTCGTCCTGGTTGACGTCAGCGAGCACCAGGCTGACGGCCACCATGCCCATGGCCTGCGCGCGCTCCGCCACCCGCGCCCACTCCTCCTGCCGCGCCCCGCCCTCCTGCACACAACGGCGGCGGACGTCGAGGGAAGGACAGAAGGGGAGGGTGGGATAAAGGAATGAGAATGTTATAATTATTCCAGCAACTGCAGCAGAAGCAGCAGCAGCAACAGCAAGGCGGGACTCACCTCCACGCAAAGCACCGCATTCACTCCCGCCCGCGTCGCGAGCGCCTCGAGCGCGGCCTGGTTGCGCGGAGTGGTGCCGATGAGAATGTTGGGCGCCACGGCGTTCCACTCCACGCCGCCTGCGCACCCCCGCACAACGCAATCGCGCCCCATCATGCCGACAGCCCTTTGAGATAGAAACGCATGTTTCCGGGGTTTGCGCCGCCACCGCCATACGGGGCAACGCGCGAACCAGGTTTGTGCATCTCAACGGGTAACTTGGCAAAGCTCGCGGTTCGTTTAGACTGTCGAAAGGTGAACAAGCGCACTCTCACCTGTTCCCCCGCTTCCGCTTGATGCGAATTGCGCCACGACGAGTCGCGCTGAACCATCTCCGTTCCGGTCATGGCGCGTTATGCGTGATCGATGCGACAGATGTAGGCGACACTTCCTTGACGACGAACTAAAGCGAAATCGCAGATGCGAGCCTCGCAAAAGGAGGTTGGTTTGGTTACCAGCGACGGAGGAAATACACGGCTCTGGGGACACGAGAGCGCAAATGGACGGGGTGGACGGGGTTAACGCGACGGCCGCCATACGGAGTGTGAGAGTGATCTAGGGCGGTGCCGGGATGTAGGGAAGCAGGTGAGCGATGGACGAGAGGAGTGCGTCACGAGATACGCGCGGGACCCATGGCGGTGTCGGAACGATTTCGCATCGCCGTGTTATCGACTTGCGTGCAGCGGCCGGCACGCCAGAGCTGCGAAGATGCGATCACGACGGCCTAAGCTGTTCCGAACAATTGATCAGCGTCGCCCAGCGTTGCCGACTACTCCAGGTTTTTCCCCAATCAGTCTTAAATAAAAAACCTAAAGAGCTCCGCAACCTCGCCAGTGGGTCAACGACTGAAGTCCCTAACACGCCTTGACCGACGAAGCGCCTCGTGCAGACAATGGCTTCTAAAACGCAAATAAATGACGAGATGAGTTTGAGTGTGATGAGGATGAGAGACGGTTCGTTGAGTTGAGGCGAGGCGGACGGACGACCCCGCGAGTCAAAGCCACAACTGCGCCCGTCCGTGGGAGCGGGGGGAGCGGAAGCGGGAGGCCGCGCAGCCCTGCGGGGAAGCTTCAAATGAACGCTGAAGCCGCGCTGTGCCGAAACGTGACATGGTGCGAAAGTTTTAGGTGTGAAAAGCACATGCCGACGTGGCAAATCTGTCAGCATTGATCAGCTTGAGATCCTTTCACTTTTGGCAGCGTGGCCAATTCGAGCCACATTTTCCCGATGGATGGGGTCAGCGGCCAGGCTTCATCGCGGGCAGGGTGTAAAGCCACTGATGCCACGTCAGAGTATTTTTCCCGCTCATTATCATGTTCCAACTGGTTTCGTATCTGCCCGTGAACCAGGTTTTATTCATCGGAGCAGACACCATCGGAACACACTTGCTGTCTCACAAGCGAGGGTGCCCTCCATCTGGTGACCCTGTTATAGGTGTGCTGTTTGCGACAGAAGTTCAAACAAGGACCATACAACGAAAACACCAGCGGGGTGGTTTAGCGACGACGAAAACGCGCCCTAGTTTGAAAGCTTTATCTGAAAACACAGGCAGGCGCGGCACCACACAGTTTTGTCACAAATCGTTGCCACGTGGAAGCCCCTGGTGGGCCAGTTCTCTCCCAACTCAGCGCAGATCTGGCACGCGAAGGAGTGGTTCTGCGACAATTCAAGTGAAGCGAGAGTTCGTCGCAGAATCGCATACACCTATTAGCTTCACCAGCAGTGAGCTCTCTCACAAGAGTAGTCTCTAACATGTTTCTTGGGTTGGACCCTTGAGAGGCCACTGAACGCCTATCCTTTGAAGCCACTTCTTGTTATTGTATTCGTCACCTATCGAGGCCATAATGGCGTCACCGTATGTATCTCAGGTACGTGGCACGTGTGTCGCCCGCAATGACCTGCCGCCAGTAAGTCCATTCGCCCGCCAGCCAGCCCAATGCAGTCCGCCGCGTGTGTTCATTCGACGGCCCAGCGTCCACTACTCGCGGGGGCCGCGCGCTTCTCCATTGCATTTCAGCGATTTTCACATGTTTCCAACTTAGTCTGCACCACTCCTTCTCCTCCCCTTCCCCCAAACCACGTCCCTTCCCCGTTGCCCTCCGCCAGTCTCTCTTGCTGCCCGCCAAACTCAATGGCGCCTCGCGGCTGCTGCTTTCCCCCAATCCCTTGGCTCAAGTTCCGCGCGCCCGCGCGCGCGGAAGCGGCGTGGTGCGCGCATCCGTGAGTGTGCTGGACGAGGCGGAGCGCGAGCTGCAGCGCAAGTCGATGGCGGAGCTGCGCGCCCTGGCCAAGGCGCGGGGGCTGCGCGGAGATACCAAGGCGGAGCTCGTGGAGCAGCTGCTGCTGTGAGTCACCGCGTGCCGTGCCGTGCCGCGCGTGGGCACGGCTCGCACGGCAGTTGTCGGCCAGTCGCGCGCCTCTGTTTCCCCCCACACCGTTCACGCACCTTTCACAACCCCCTTTTTTCCCTCCCCCCTTTTCACTGCCATCGGCGCTCCGCCCTCCGCGTTCTGCCAGTCCATTCCCCGCGCCTGTATTCCCTCCCCCTCCCCTCCCCGCCCTTTCAGATCAGGCGCGGCCTCACTCGCGTACTCCGCTCCCCCGCAACCACCCGCCCCCCCGGCCGCGGTGCCGGGGGCGCGGACGCGATGACGCAGCTGCTGGAGAAGATGCCGCTTCCGCAGCTGCGCGAGCTCGCGCGCGAGCGGGGCTCGCGGTCGTCCACGCGCGCCGACATCCTCCGAGACCTGCGCCTGTACGCATGGGGGGATGTGGGGGGAGGGGAAGGGGGTTGGGGCTAGCAGATGGCGCGGAAGGTGAATGCGATGTTGCGTCGTGCTGATAACCATGCCGCTGCTTCGCTCGCAGACCCGTCCGCCATCCCGCCCCCTCACTTCCTTCTTCCTTATTTGTACCCGTCTTCCCCTCCTCACCTCTCCACTTGCACTCGATTTGATATTCTTTCCCCCCCTCCTCCATCCCTCTTCTCCCCCCCCAGCATAATGGCTGGACAGCCCCTGCCCAAGCCTCCCCCGCCACCCGCGCCTGTCATCCCCCCGCCCTCCCCCTCGCCCGCGCCCCCAGCCTCCCCGCCCGTTGCTATACCAGTCGTGTCTGCACCCGCGCCGGCTCCCCCAGCAGCCGCGGCGGGCGCAGGCGGAGAGGCGGGGGCGCGGGAAAAGGAGCTGCTGGGGCTGGGGCTGGCGGAGCTGCGGCAGATGGCGCGCGCGCAGGGCGTGCGCGGCGACACCAAGGCGCAGATCGTCGCCGCGCTGCTGTGAGTGCCTGGGGCGCAACCACGAAGGGGGGTGGAATTGGGGGGGAAATCGCGCAGTACAGTGCTTGCAGTCGTGGCTGACGTACTTGCATGCGTCATCCCTCCTCCCCCGTCCTTCCTGCCCATCCCCGAAGCTCACATGCGCGCCCCTCGTCCCCCACGCGCTCCGCCTGCCCTCCGCAGAGCCCAGCAGGCCGCCACGCCAGTCAAGGCCAAACCACCCTCCCCCCCGCCCGCTGCCCCCGCCGCTGCTGCCTCTCCTGCTCCCACAGTCGCCAAACCTGCTCCTAAGCCTGCTGCTCCCAAACCAGCTGCTCCCAAACCTGCTGCCGCCAAGGCTGCGGGGGAGAAGGCGGCGGGGGAGAAGGGGGAGAAGGGGGAGGTGGAGCGGGCGTTGGAGGCGATGGACATGGGCGAGCTGCGATACCTGGCGCGGGAGAGAGGCCTCAAGGGCGACACCAAAGAGGAGCTCGTCAAGGCCCTCGCGTGAGTCGCGCCCCCCATGCACATGCACACACGTAAACGCACACGCAGCCCCTGCCACCCTCTCCCCGCATCCTGCCCACTCGCCACCTTCCCCCCATCCTGCCCCTGCCCCTGCTGCCTTCCCACCCCCATCACATCCCTCCCTCCCCTCCTCTCTTCCCCCCCGCATCCCCTCCCGCAGCGAGGGTCCCCCCCCCACGCTGGGGTTCATAGGGCTGCCGCCGCCCTCCGCCCCTCGCCGCCGCCGCATGCCCAGGTTCCGCGCGCCCCCTAAAGACGCCCCCGCGCCAGCCAACGCCGCCGCTGCTGCTGCAGCTGGCGCTGAGCAGGCGGAGGGGGAGCAGGAGAAGGCGCAGGCGGAGGAGGGGGCGGCGGTAGTGGAGGAGGAGGCGAGAGAGGTGGAGGTGGCAGCAGGGGCGGAGGCGGTGCTGCCGCCCTTCCAGTCCACTGCTGCGCCCGACTCCCCCTCGCCCGCCCCCGTGCTGCCCCTGACTGTGAGTGCTGCCCCTGACTGTGAGTGCACCACCCTACTTCCCACCAGTCGCCCCCACCTCATTCTTTCGTCTCAATTGCTCCTCCTCAACCACCCCTCTCTCCCCTTCCGCCCCTCCTCTTCCTCCCCCCCTCCCTTTCCCGTGCGCCATCAGCCGGGGGAGATGGCGGGGGAGGTGGCGCGGCTGAGGGAGGCGGTGGCGGGGATGAGGGGGGAGGTGGAGGAGGAGGTGCGGCGGGTGAAGGGGGAGAGTGAGGAGGAGCGCAGCAGCAAGTACCTGCGCAGTGCCGTCATCGGGGGCGTGGGGCTCGCCCTGCTGCCCCTGCTGCTGCCCGCCCTCATCTCCTCCCTCCGCCAAACAGCCCCTCCCTCTCAGGTACGCCTGTCAGTGAGCACAGGGATGGGTGCATGGGTGCATGGGGTGCATGGGTGCATGGGGTGCATGGGTGCATGGGTGCATGGGTGCATGGGTGCATGGGTGCATGGGTGCATGGGTGCATGGGTGCATGGGTGCATGGGTGCATGGGTGCATGGGTGCATGGGTGCATGGGTGCATGGGTGCATGGGTGCATGGGTGCATGGGTGCATGGGTGCATGGGTGCATGGGTGCATGGGTGCATGGGTGCATGGGTCCATGGGGTGCATGGGTGCATGGGTGCATGGGTGCATGGGAGAATGAAATGAGCACCCGGTATGGGGAACGTATCGGAAGGCCTAGGGGCAGATGGCAGCACAGTGAATCTGGGAGCAGCACCACATGGCCAGGCCCCCCAACACTTCCCTTGTGCTGCATGCACCCCGCACCTGCCATGCCACCCTCCGCAACTCACCACACCATCCCCCGCCCTGCTGCACCGCCCCTGCCCATGCACCACCCACTCGCCACCAACACCCCTCGCTGCCCCTCATCCCCCGTCCCCTCTGGTCGCGCAGGCACGGGTGGAGCTGGCATCGGAGACGGCAGTGCTACTGCAGTCACTGCTGGCCGCGGAGTCGTCCTCCCTGTCGGAGCTGCAGGCGCTCGTGCCCCTCATCGCCCCCGACCTTGACGCTGCCACCCGTGCCGACCGCGCCGCCATGTTCTGCCAGGCCGTGCCACCCGCCTCCCGCTCCCCCCAGGCCGACCGCTTCTGCAACGCTGTCAGCGCCGTCAGGGGGGGCAGTGAGGGGAGGGAGAGGATGCTTGGTGTGGCAGTGGGTGCGTGCGGTACGATGGATGTGCACGGGATGGTGGGTGGGGATAGCTGTAGGTTGAATGAACGAGGGTTATGCATGCATGGTGCGGCGCAGCGGTGGTCAGGGATCTTGCTCAGATGGTTTTGTTGGTGGAGGAAACTCAACACTTCTACCTTTAACCCTGGTGACCTCTACATTGGAGGTTAAAGTGATGTCATGAGAAACAACAGCTTCAACTATGGATAATGGAAGAATTGACTGCATTGGTTGTGATACTGTACAAAAATGATATACAGTAGATACCGTTCTACAGCAAAATAATGTGCCACAATAATCTCTCTGCTGCTGCTATTGTGCAGCAGAGCACAGCGAAGCAAATCACCTTCACCTACACACATGTGCAAGGCCTCGGCAGGGGTGGTGGACTGGCATTAGTGTGTTAGCATGTTAGCGTGTCGGAGTGTTAGTGTGTGCGTGCATGCATCCATGCTTGCCGCATGGCTGGTGCGCGGGGCAGCTACGGTAGTAGGAGGGCAGGGCGGGGAGCGCAGTGCCGTGCAGGAAGTGGTGGAAGATGGTGAAGGCGGCCGCGGGTCGTCCCGTGGGGACCTGGTGGCCCGCCCCCCGCACCGTCATGAACGTCAGCCCCTTGTACCGCGTCACCCACCCCCCCACCTGGGGCACGGGCGGTGCAGGGAGGGGATGGAAAAGGGGAGGGGATGGGGAAGGGGAGAGGGAGGGGGAGGAAGGTTTGGAAAAGGAATTGGAAGGAGGGAGCACATGATAGAAACCGTAGGGGGAGATGCGAGGGCTTTAGGGCGGCAGTGCAGCCTGTGCGTGTGGTGTGCGTGCCATGCTGGTGAGGGAGACACACCCCATCACTCACCTGTCATGCTGCATGTTGTGTGCACGGCGTGTGGCACGCACCTGGGTGGAAGGGAGCGTCCAGGGTTGCAGGGGGGCGAGCAGCGGCAGGTTGAGGCCCGCCACCCACTGCCTGGTGCCCGTGAACGACACCACTGAGTCCACGTCGCCCCTGCCGTGCACAGGGGCGCAGACAGGGGTGCAGAGAGGGGTGCAGAGAGGGGTGCAGAGAGGGGTGCAGAGGAGTGGTGTGTGTTTCCTTGCGAAGGCAGAGCATCTGGCTTGGTACAGTGGAGCTGACGTGAGATTAGCGAATCATGCTCCCACATCCCAAGACATTCCGCCCTGCACCCACCTCATTCCACCCATCAGTGCACTCACGACATGATCCAGAGGGGCACTCACGACATGATCCAGATGGGCACTCACGACATGATCCAGAGGGGCACTCACGACATGATCCAGAGGGGCACTCACGACATGATCCAGAGGGGCACTCACGACATGATCCAGAGGGGCACGTGGGCTGCTAGCAGGCGGTGCAGCACGGGCAGCATCGATACCTCCATGTCCGCACCAGCGTACTGCAGTGATGCGCTGTGGGGGGGGAGAAGGGAGGTAGAGAGGGAGGGAGGAGGCAAGTCAAAAGGGGGTAGGTGAGAGGGTGGTAGGTGAGAGGGTGGTAGGTGAGAGGGTGGTAGGTGAGAGGGTGGCACAGTTGAGAATGGGAAAGGTGGGGGAAGGGGGGAGGGAAGGAGGTGCGGAGGAGGGAGGGAGGCAGGGAGAGAGGGGGGGAGGGAGGCAGAGAGGGAGGGAAGGAGGGAGGAGTGGGAGTGAGTGGGGGAATGAGGCACGGAGAGCGCACGGTTGGTGCCTCGCACCTGCACGGTTGGTGCCTCGCACCTGCACGGTTGGTGCCTAGCAATTTTGCAGACGCGAGGCCCATGTTCTTGCAATTTTGCAGACGCTAAGCCCTTGTTCTTGCAATTTTGCACTCGCTAGGCCCTTGTTCTTGCAATTTTGCAGACGCTAGGCCCTTGTTCTAGAATTTTTGCACTCGGTAGGCCCTTGTTCTAGCAATTTTGTACTCGCTAGGCCCATGTTCTTGCAATTTTGCAGACGCTAGGCCCTTGTTCTTGCAATTTTGCACACGCTAGGCCCTTGTTCTTGCTATTTTGCACACGCTAGGCCCTTGTTCTTGCAATTTTGCAGACGCTAGGCCCTTGCTCTTGCAATTTTGCGCTCGCTAGGGGCCTTGTTCTTGCACTTTTGCACTCGCTAGGCCCTTGTTCTTGCAATTTTGCAGATGCTAGGCCCTTGTTCTAGCAATTTTGCACTCGCTAGGCCCTTGTTCTTGCAATTTTGCACACGCTAGGCCCTTGTTCTTGCAATTTTGCACTCGCTAGGCCCTTGTTCTTGCAATTTTGCACTCGCTAGGCCCTTGTTCTTGCAATTTTGCACACGCTAGGCCCTTGTTCTTGCAATTTTGCACACGCTAGGCCCTTGTTCTTGCAATTTTGCACTCGCTAGACACTTGTTCTTGCAATTTTGCACTCGCTAGGCCCTTGTTCTTTGCAATTTTGCACTCGCTAGGCCCTTGTTCTTGCAGTTTTGCACACGCTAGGCCCTTGTTCTTGCATTTTTGCACTCGCTAGGCCCTTGTTCTTGCAATTTTGCACTCGCTTGGCCCTTGTTCTAGCAATTTTGCAGACGCTAGGCCCTTGTTCTTGCAATTTTGCACTCGCTAGGCCCTTGTTCTTGCAATTTTGCACTCGCTAGGCCCTTGTTCTTGCAATTTTGCACTCGCTAGGCCCTTGTTCTTGAAATTTTGCAGACGCTAGGCCCATGTTCTTGCAATTTTGCAAACGCTAGGCCCTTGTTCTTGCAATTTTGCACTCGCTAGGCCCTTGTTCTTGCAATTTTCCAGACGCTAGGCCCTTGTTCTTGCAATTTTGCACTCGCTAGGCCCTTGTTCTTGCAATTTTGCACTCGCTAGGCCCTTGTTCTTGCAATTTTGCAGACACTAGGCCCTTGTTTTTGCAATTTTGCAGACGCTAGGCCCTTGTTTTTGCAATTTTGCAGACGCTAGACCCTTGTTCTTGCAATTTTGCACTCGCTAGGCCCTTGTTCTTGCAATTTTGCACTCGCTAGGCCCAGGTTCTTGCAATTTTGCAGACGCTAGGCCCTTGTTCTCGCAATTTTGCTTACTAGGCCCTTGTTCTTGCAATTTTGCACTCGCTAGGCCCTTGTTCTTGCAATTTTGCACTCGCTTGGCCCTTGTTCTAGCAATTTTGCACACGCTAGGCCCTTGTTCTTGCAATTTTGCACTCGCTAGGCCCTTGTTCTTGCAATTTTCCAGACGCTAGGCCCTTGTTCTTGCAATTTTGCACTCGCTAGGCCCTTGTTCTTGCAATTTTGCACTCGCTAGGCCCTTGTTCTTGCAATTTTGCAGACACTAGGCCCTTGTTTTTGCAATTTTGCAGACGCTAGGCCCTTGTTTTTGCAATTTTGCAGACGCTAGACCCTTGTTCTTGCAATTTTGCACTCGCTAGGCCCTTGTTCTTGCAATTTTGCACTCGCTAGGCCCAGGTTCTTGCAATTTTGCAGACGCTAGGCCCTTGTTCTCGCAATTTTGCTTACTAGGCCCTTGTTCTAGCAATTTTGCACTCGCTAGGCCCAGGTTCTTGCAATTTTGCAGACGCTAGGCCCTTGTTCTCGCAATTTTGCTTACTAGGCCCTTGTTCTTGCAATTTTGCACTCGCTAGGCCCTTGTTCTTGCAATTTTGCACTCGCTTGGCCCTTGTTCTTGCAATTTTGCACACGCTAGGCCCTTGTTCTTGCAATTTTTGCACTCGCTAGGCCCTTGTTCTTGCAATTTTGCACTCGCTAGGCCCTTGTTCTTGCAATTTTGCACTCGCTAGGCCCTTGTTTGTTCTTGCACTTTTGCACTCGCTAGGCCCTCGTTCTTGCTATTTTGCAGATGAAAGGCCCTTGTTCTAGCAATTTTGCACTCGCTAGGCCCTTGTTCTTGCAATTTTGCACACGCTAGGCCCTTGTTCTTGCAATTTTGCACTCGCTAGGCCCTTGTTCTTGCAATTTTGCACTCGCTAGGCCCTTGTTCTTGCAATTTTGCACTCGCTAGGCCCTTGTTCTTGCAATTTTGCAGACGCTAGGCTCTTGTTCTTGCAATTTTGCACTCGCTAGGCCCTTGTTCTTGCAATTTTGCACACGCTAGGCCCTTGTTCTTGCAATTTTGCAGACGCTAGGCCCTTGTTCTTGCAATTTTACAGACGCTAGGCCCTTGTTCTTGCAATTTTGCACTCGCTAGGCCCTTGTTCTTGCAATTTTGCAGACGCTAGGCCCATGTTCTTGCAATTTTGCACTCGCTAGGCCCTTGTTCTTGCAATTTTGCACTCGCTAGGCCCTTGTTCTTGCAATTTTGCACTCGCTAGGCCCTTGTTCTTGCAATTTTGCAGACGCTAGGCCCATGTTCTTGCAATTTTGCAGACGCTAGGCCCATGTTCTTGCAATTTTGCACTCGCTAGGCCCTTGTTCTTGCAATTTTGAAGACGCTAGGCCCTTAATCTAGCAATTTTGTACTCGCTAATCCCTTGTTCTAGCAATTTTGCACTCACTAGGCCCATGTTCTTGCAATTTTGCAGACGCTAGGCCCTAACGTCTGCAAAATTGCAAGAACAAGGGCCTAGCGTCTGCAAAATTGCAAGAACATGGGCCTAGCGAGTGCGAAATTGCAAGAACAAGGGCCTAGCGAGTGCAAAAATTCAAGAACAAGGGCCTTGCGTGTGCAAATAGCAAGAACAAGGGCCTAGCGTGTGCAAAATTGCAAGAACAGGGGCCTAGCGTGTGCTAAATTGCAAGAACAAGGGCCTAGCGTGTGCAAAATTGCAAGAACAAGGGCCTAGCGTGTGCAAAATTGCAAGAACAAGGGCCTAGCGTGTGCAAAAATTCAAGAACAAGGGCCTAGCGTGTGCAAAATAGCAAGAACAAGGGCCTAGCGTGTGCAAAATAGCAAGAACAAGGGCCTAGCGTGTGCAAAATTGCAAGAACAAGGGCCTAGCGTGTGCAAAATTGCAAGAACAAGGGCCTAGCGTGTGCAAAATTGCAAGAACAAGGGCCTAGCGTGTGCAAAATTGCAAGAACAAGGGCCTAGCGTGTGCAAAATTGCAAGAACAAGGGCCTAGCGTGTGCAAAATTGCAAGAACAAGGGCCTAGCGTGTGCAAAATTGCAAGAACAAGGGCCTAGCGTGTGCAAAATTGCAAGAACAAGGGCCTAGCGAGTGCAAAATTGCAAGAACAAGGGCCTAGCGTGTGCAAAATTGCAA